TACGAGGCATGGAGGAGCTCAGCTATGAGGAAAGATTAGAGGAACTGAATTTATTCTTGAGAAGAGGAGATTAAGAGGGGATATGATTAACATGTATAAATACATTAGAATAAAAAGGCATAAAAGTGAGCGCTATGGATGAGCTGCTGTAACACCGAAAGGCACCAATAACCTTCTGAGACCAAATGATATAATAAGGTGCAGCGCTAAAATAATGTAAATCTCAATATAAAGTGCAATGAAATGATTAAAGAAACAATCTTAGTAACATATAAAGTGCAAGTGGTGCTAATTCAAGTGATAATTCAATCAACAAGGCAAATGTATAAAGTGACGAGAGTGTAAATGCACATCCAGCAAAGTGCAAACAGTGCCAATAAGGTGATAAAGTGTGTAATACCATCAATGAATAAACGTTAAGCTTCAGATAAAAGTGATCCTCATTGAGTATTCTGGTGATAAAATAATAGAATTACGCACTCACCAGATGCGTAACACCATTACGCATTTGAGAATAATTATATCTCGGTGGGCCAGCTGGATCATCTTATAGACACCTCTGCCCTGGTATAGATTCCTCTCTGGGTCATCAATGGGATGCAGTACTTTTCACCTTTTCCTGAAACAGTACCCGCAGCACAACTCACTCCAGCTGGCACGTGCGCGGTAAGTCTCCGGTCAACAAACTAGGAGCCAGCTCATTGATTGTATTACACACTTTATCACCTTATTGGCACTGTTTGCACTTTGATAGATGTGCATTTACACTGTCGTCACTTTATACATTTGCCTTGCTGATTGATTTGTCACTTGAATTAGCACCACTTGCACTTTATATGTTACTAAGATTGTTTCTTCCATCATTTCATTGCACTTTATTATATTGAGATTTACATTATTTTAGTGCTGCACCTTATTATATCATGTATAAATACATCATTGGTTCACATGGTGAAGTTGGTGTAGAGCTATTCATCATGAGGTCATCACAGAGGACAAGGGGGCACTCTTTACGTCTGGAGGAAAAGAAATTTAATCTCCAAACATGGAAATGTTTCTTCACAGTAAGAGCTGTGAAAATGTGGAATAGACTCCCTCAAGAGTTGGTTCTGGCCAGCTCAGTGGATTGCTTTAAAAAAGGCCTGGATTGTTTCTTAGATACACAGAATATAACTAGATACTAACATTTATAGGTAAAGTTGATCCAGGAAATATCCAATTGCCTCTCGGAGGATCAGGAAGGAATTTTGTTTTCCTCTGGATCAACTGTGGATATAGGATTATAACTTTTTTTTTTGTTTTTTTTTTTCTATAGTTGAACTGGATGGACTCTTGTGTATTTTTTTTTTTTTTTGCTTTTTTTTTCAGCCAGACTAACTATGTAACTATGTACTGACAGGTGGCACTGATGAGGCTACACTCATCATCTGGGCACACTGATCATGTCCCCTCTTAGTAATGCCAATTACCGTGTCTCTTCTCCTCACGAGCTGTCAGCGTGACAGCGCGTGAGGAGAGAAATGCAGATAACCGGCATTTCCTTATTTGAGATGAGCTGTGATTGGACACAGCTGATCACATGACAGAGCCGACGTCTTCTGCTCTTTCCGTTGATTGGTGATCCGCTGTGTCCCACAGCGCACCACCGATCGCCGCTGGTTAGAGTGTGAGGACGATATGACGAAAAGGGGTCTTTGGGGGGGAGATGTACTACCCTGGCATTTCAGCAGAGCAGAAATGTGATGGGCAGTCAGAAGGTAAAAACTGTGTAAATTTCAGTATTTATACCACAGTTTGTATACACTATAAATTTCACGCAAACTAAATTTTTTTTTTCTACCAAAGACGTATAGCAGAATACATTTTGGTCTAAATTTATGAAGAAATTTATTGGGTACTTTTAATAACAGAAAGTAGAAAATATAATTTTATTTTTTTTTTTTTTAAAATTTTCGTTTATATTGCAAAAAATAAAAATCCCAGAGGTGATCAAATGCCACCAAAAGAGAGCTCTATTTGGGTACAGCGTTGTATGACCACACAATTAGCAGTTGAAATAGCTCAGTGTCTAATAGCAAAAAAAATGCCCTGGTCAGGAAGGGAGTAAATTCTTCTGGGGCTGAAGTGGTTATCTCCATTATCTTTCTTACGTGAAGGTACACCTAGTCAGCCTCCGTTTAATTTTCTCCAGGAATTTATTTTGTACGTTGCTGTTTATGTGTAAGCATGCATTAAAAGAGATTCCAGTGTTAATTCAAAAGCAGCATACAGGTTTGCACCTCAGTAAAGTGCAGTATTCCACATCAACCAGATAGTCTCTCAACAACTCTGACTGCATTAAGTTAAAATCTGGTTGTTGTGGGTTGTTTCTTTTTTGCATCTCCATATATTATTATTTAGCAGTGGTAGTTGATGACACCCTTTTGCAAAAGTTAGTTTTTTTAACCACTTCCAGTCCGGACACTCTTACCCCCTTCCTGACCAGGGCAATTTTCAGCTTTCAGCGCAATCACACTTTGAATGACAATTGCGCGGTCAAGCAACACTGTACCCATATGAATTTTTTACCATTTTTTTGGGACAGATAGAGCTTTATTTTGGTGGTATTTAATCACCTCTGGGTTTTTTATTTTTTCTTTAACCAAAAACCACTGAAAAGTTTTGTTATAAAATTGTTAAAATTTGTTAAAATAAGTGATTTTTCTCCTTCACTGATGTGCGCTATTGAGGCTGTAGTGATGGGCACTGATAAGATGCACTGATGGACACTGTTGAGGCACTGGTAGGTGGCACTGATGGGCATTGACAGGCATCACTGATGGGCACTGAAAGGCAGCACTGATAGGCGGCACTGACTGGCACTGTCTAGCACTGATAGACGGCACTGACTGACTTTATTTTGGTGGTATTTATTCACCGCAGGGATTTTAATTTGTTTTGCTATGTAAATGAAAATGTCCAAAAATTTTGTAAAAAGTGTTTTTTCTTATAAAATTCTGCAAATAAATAATATTTCATCATAAATCTTGGCCAAAATGTATTCTGTTTTCTTTTTAGTAAAAAAAAAAATAAATAAGCCAAATTAGTTTATAACCAAAAATTATAATTTTGAAACTTTTTTTACTTTTTTTTTTTTTATATTTTAATATTTTTTTTACATACTGTCACCCTAGCAGTACAGTGTCACCATGGTGACACTGTACTACTTTTGGGGGGTGATGAAGATTTTATCCAACGATTGCTTTTACATCCATATAGGATGTAAAAGCAATCGTTTCTCTTTCTCTCTGTCTGCATTCTTGCAGCCATTGAGAACTACTGAGTGAGCTGTGATTGGTCACAGCTTGTCACATGGTACAAGGCTGTTGTGAATAGCCTTGTACTATGTGACCTCTGTGATCATTCACAGATTTTACACGTAGTAAGCAATGATGTCACAAGTGACATCTTGCTTACTACTTTGCATGTGATCACTGATTGGCCAATCAGTGATCACATGATCGGGACCTCGTACAGAGGTCCCGTTCGATCGGTGTTTCACTGTGTCCGGAGGACACATCGGGCACCGGATCGCGGTGCTGCACGCTCCCGTGGAGCGTGCACAAGCAGGGTGCAGTGCCACTGTCCGACAGGTGTCATCTGATCAACCATAGCCTGGCTGAAACCCCTCACACACTGGCCTGGACGGCCAGCCTCTGCCAGCCACAGGGACCTGCCAGATTACACCAATCTCCAGGAAATACACCTCTTCACAGAGCGGTTGGTTTTTCCACAGCGACCAGAGTGTCGTTGTATTCTCAAACTTCCCAGCTCCAGGACACTCCAGTCTTTGATAGTCTCTGCGCCTGTGATATTTGCTTTTTTCTTTTTATATATTTCAGTTAGAACTTTCCCAGTCCTCTGACATACATGTCTGCAAGAGCTAACTGTTTGTTAATACTTTATGTAAGCTATTTTTCTTCCCTAGACCAGCGAAAGATGTAACGTTCTAATTTTTCATATATAGTAAACAGATGCCAGTAGCGTAGTAGCCATGTAAAGAATACCAAGATGAAAATTAGAGATGTCACATAGGTTGACTGTCCAATTAAAACATGTTCAAGAAGTTACAGTTTTCCTGTTTGGCTGGCGTTTTAAAGAGGTATTAAACCCAAAACCAAAATGTGATGTCCACATTCGTGGTTTTTTTTTTTCTATTAGAAAGAAGTGCCACCTGTCAGTGCTGAACAGTGCCACATATCAGTGCACATCAATGCCACATATCAGTGCCCACCTGAGCTGCCCTTCAGTGCCGCCTATCAGTGCTAGACAGTGCCAGTCAGTGCTGCCTTTCAGTGCCCATCAGTGATGCCTGTCAATGCCCATCATCTTCATCAGTGTCCATCAGTGCATCTTATCAGTGCCCATCACTACAGCCTCATTAGCGCACATCAGTGAAGGAGAAAAATCACTTATTTACAAAATGTTATAGCAAAAACTAAAAAAAAAAACATTTTTTTTTTTCAAAATTTTCAGTTGTTTTTGGTTTATTTTAGAAAAAAATAAAAAACCCAGAGGTGATTAACTACCACCAAAATAAAGCTCTATCTGTCATAAAAAATGATAAAAATGTAATATGGGTACAGTGTTGCATGACCGCGCAATTGTCATTCAAAGTGTGACCGCGCTGAGAGCTGAAAATTGGCCTGGGCAGGAAGGGGGTATAAGTGCCCTGTAGGCACTTAATAAATTCATATACTGTAATGTTGGACTATTTTTATAAGGCTATTCAATGTTGTTGGTTTTTTTGTTTTAAACATAATGTTTTTGCTATTTATGTTTTTTAAGTTACTTTTTATAATATTTTATAAAGTTTTCAAAAAATATACTTTGTGAAGGAAGTTATAGTATGTAGGAGACTTACCCTTTTGAGGTGTCAGGCTGTGTTTGTTTCCTTGTTTGTTTGCTTCTTACTTTATATTTTTTCATTCTGTAATAATTGAGTTAATATCTTCTTTTAGAATCTCCAAGAGAAGAAAGTTATTCCCTGTCCTTCCTTTTACGATTCGGATAATCCAGTTAAAGGTATAGAGGATTTCGCTTTGTTATTGATGTTATGGGCATTCCTTCATAGTACAACAGAAATGTGAAATATGACAAACTTGTGTCTGCAAATGGTACCCTATGGTACCTTGCTGCCTACAAGTAGTGGCTCCTGTACTGACTCTGCCTCCTGAAGCTCCTTCTCTCAGCACCTCTGTAGTTCATAAGGCAGGCTCTGGCAGGATCAGCAGAGCATAGTGAATGTGTCACAGAATTTAAGGGGGATCTTCATAAAGTAAGTTTACAAACTTCAATTTGTTCAGAGTAATAGGGGTAGGCTAAAAATCATTAAAATTCAGTGATGTGTGATTTAAATTTTGATCACATACAGTTGTGTTCAAAATAATAGCAGTCAGACATCACTAACCTGATCAATCACTGTTTTTGGTAGAAATGATATTTCTACATGGCAAATAATTTACTAGCAGGTGTAGTACAGTAATAGAAATCCAACAGACCCGACAGTCATGACATGCATGCTGCTGATTCTATGTAATTGAATCACTAATTGAAAGGGGCATGTTCAAAATAATAGCAGCGTGGAATTCCATTAGTGAGGTCATTCATTCTTTGAAAAACAGGTGGCAATTATTGCCCTTATTTAAGGAAGGAAGGCAGCAAATATTGTACATGCTGGTTACAGTGCATTTCTCTCTGAAATTCTGAGGAAAATGGGTCGTTCCAGACATTGTTCAGAAGAACAGCGTACCTTGATTGGAGAGGAGAAAACATATAAAGAAGTGCAGAAAATGATAGGCTGCTCAGCTAAAATTATCGCAAATGCTTTAAAATGGCAACCAAAACCTAGAAAGTCGTGGAAGAAAGCGAAAAACTACCATTCGAATGGATAGAAGAATAGCCAAAATGGCAAGGACTCAGCCAACAATAAGCTCCAGGAAGATCAAAGAAGGTCTAAAGTTACCTGTGAGTACTGTTACAATTAGAAGATGCCTATGTGAAGCCAAGCTATCTGCAAGAAGCCCCCGCAAAGTCCCACTGTTGGAAAAAAAAGACGTGCTGAAGAGGTTACAATTTGCCAAAGAGCACACTGACTGGCCTAAAGAGAAATGGCGCAACATTTTGTGGACTGATGAAAGTAAGATTGTTCTTTTTGGGTCTAGTGGCTGGAGACAGTTTGTCAGACGACCCCCAAACACTGAATTCAAGCCACAGTACATTGTGAAGACAGTGAAGCATGGTTGCGCAAGCATCATGATATGGGGATGTTTCTCATACTACGGTGTTGGGCCTATTTATCGCATACCAGGGATCATGGATCCGTTTTGAATACATCAGAATACTTGAAGAGGTCATGCTGCCTTATGCTGAAGAGGAAATGCCCTTGAAATGGGTGTTCCAACAGGACAACGACCCCAAACACACCAGTAAACGTGCAACATCTTGGTTCCAGACCAACAAGATTGACGTTATGGAGGTGCCAGCCCAATCCCCGGATCTTAATCCAATAGAAAACTTGTGGGGTGACATCAAAAATGCAGTTTCTGAGGCAAAACCAAGAAATAGAGAAGAACTGTGGAATGTAGTCCAATCATCCTGGGCTGGAATACCTGTTCACAGGTGCCAGAAGTTGGTTGACTCCATGCAACACAGATGTACAGCAGTTCTCAGAAACAGTGCTTATACAACTAAATATTCATTAAGTGATTCAAAGGAAAGCAAAATCTTCAAACATTTTTCAGTTTATATAGTGAATGTTTGAGTTTGTAAAGAAGAATACAAACACTGCTGTTTTTTTTAAACAGTCTAATATTCACTTTTCTTAAATTTTTTTAGAGGAACAACACAAATTTGATATATTTTTCTTCATGTTCATGTTTTGATTTGGAATAGAATGTGTAGTGTTACCAATGCATTTGTGTGTATGGAAATAAACGCTATTAGAAAGATTTTCAGCTTTATTCACTTTATTCAACACACTGCTATTATTTTGAACACAACTGTATATGCTTTAACTAGAAATACTGTTGCAAAGTTTGCTATCCGGGTTGTCTACACAAATCCTCCATGCTTCCAGTCCTTGCACTCTGCATTATTTTAACTAGTTGCCGACCGCAGATAGCCGAATGACGGCTGCACTGCGGCCGGCCAGTTCTGAGTGGACGTCATATGACGTCCTCCCAGAACGCGCTCTCCTGCGCGCCCCAGGGGGCGCGCACCCGGCGATCTCCGTGATCACTGTGTCCTACGGACACAGCTGATCACGTGATGTGGTAAAAGGCCAATCACAGCAGCCTTTTACCACGTGATCAGCGGTGTCCAATGACACGCTGATCAGAGGGAAATGCAAGTGCCGGTTCTCAGCTGCGCTTTCCTCACGCTGTCAGATCGTGAGGAAAGTACTGCCGAGAACCGGCAGTTGTCAGAGCGGGGATCGGCACCGATCATCAGGGCACTGATGATCAGTGCCCTGATGATCGGTGCCCAGCAGTGCCACCCGCAAGTTCCGCCCACCTGTGCCCAGCAGTGCGCCCACTAGCTCTGCCCACCTGTGCCCATCAGTGCACCCACCTGTGCCACTCTGCAATGTCACACACCTGTGCCCAGAAGTGCCAGAACCTGTGCCCACCAGTGCCACCCACCTGTGCCCACCCACCGGTGCCCACCCACCAGTGCTGCCCACCAGTACCACCCACCAGTGCAGCCCAGCAGTGCTGCCAGTCAGATCCACCAGTCAGTGCCCAGCAGTGATGCCAGTCAGTGCCGTCTATCAGTACCCATCATCAGTGTCACCTTAGTGCCGCCTATCCGTGCCACCTCATTAGTGCTGCCTATCAGTGCCCATCAGTGCCGCCTATCAGTGCCCATCAGTGCTGCCTCATCAACGCACATCAGTGAAGGAGAAAAAATACCTATTTGAAAAATTTTATAAACGAAACAAAGAAACTTTTTTTTTTTTTTCAAATTTTTTGCACTTTTTTTATTTTTTTTTTAGCGCAAAAAGTAAAAAAAGTAAAGCGCCCAGTGGCGATTAAATACCACCAAAAGAAATCTCTATTTGTGAGAAAAAAATTATCAAAATGTCATATGGGTACAATGTTGCATGACCGCGCAATTGTCAATCAAAGTGCGGCAGCGCTGAAAGCTGAAAATTGGCCTGGTAAATAAGGGGGTATAAGTGCCTGGTAGGCAAGTGGTTAATGTGTATTCCTATACAAGTCTGTAGTGATTCTCTAACTTCATAGCATGCTGCAGAGCTCAGAGATTTTCCAGCATATCTAGGAAGGACACCATGGAGAAAAGTGCAGTTGATAAATATTTCCCCTAAAGCTATAAGGAAGAAAAGCGTGTGCCTCATCAAAATAAACTTTATCACTGAGTGTTCACCTTTCAAGCTCCGGGAAGCTCCGGAGTACAGCCTTTTCCTCCAAATATTACCTATCAGCGCTGTTTCTATTCAGGTCTATGGGGCTCAAAAATGCACCACATCACACCAAACACGCACAGGACTTTTCTGGAAATCGCATTGCATTTGAAACGCATAGGTGTGTACGACCTCCATAGAAAGCCATGTTATCTCTCTTGACGTGTGAATCTATGCAATCTAGAACACATCAGAACTGCATCAGATTTGCATCAATGTGAACCAGGACTAAAGGCAAAGTTTGTGTATATTCATAAAGCAAATTATGATTTACTGCAGTGTTTTTATCTTAAATCTGAACTCTGGGAAATGTAAAAATGTTTCCTTGCTGTGGGCCTGCCCCAACACTGCAAGGGTTAAATGCTACTTTACATCTAGGGGCCTGCTGTCAGAGGGAAAGGGGTGAGGGGGGTGAGTGGGGCATGAGCTAGAACATGCTTCATATGTCACCCTAACCCTAGGTTCACACGTAAGCGTTTTCCACAGCGTTAACATGAATTCCTATGGGACATGTTCACATCTCCGCGTTTTCACCCGTTTTATGGAAAGGGTCAGGGACTTTTTTAAATGCAAAAAGTTGTGTTTTTGGTTCTATAGACCTGAACAGAAACGCTGCAAAAAAGCATGTAGTGCATTTTTTGCTGCGTTTTTTTGTGTTTTTTCAAATCTGCCTAGCAACAAGAAAAAAAAAAAAAGTGTGGCAAAAATGCAACGCTAAAGGCAATGCAGAAACGGGTCAAATGCAAACTGCATGGGTGTGAACCTAGCCTAAAACCTGGTGTAACATGTTCCAAAGGTGAAATTATCCTTTTAAGTTGCCAATAGATGGATTGATGTTTGGCCAAAGTTCAGCGGGGACCAGCTTAATTTCGATCTGCTTTAAGCCTTTAGATCGATGTCTTAGAAATGTGCTTGTTGGAAAATTTGTGTTCAGTCATCGCTGCAAGCCCATAGGCTGCAGCACTCACCAGTGTATTCTGACAGCAGAGGAAAGGATTCTTCCAGTACTACCACACTTTTTTATAGAATGGGGAATTTGTTCAGTATTTTCAATCAGCCCTCTGACTGATCTGGAAAACCCCCCCCAAAAAACTGAGCCATGTACATACAGCTTTAATAGATACTTAGAGCAGATCACAGATCAGTGATTTTTGGAAGCAATTGTAAGCCTAGCAGTGATGTCCACCACAGAATTCTACCCATTTTTAAATTGTTACTAAATCCACAACAGCAAAATATCTGTATATGCAGTAAAGCATGCTTGTTATACTCACTGTGGAACCTAAGGGGTTAATCCTTAAAGGATGTTTGATCCTGACTTCTCTGATCCTCCCCTTCTTCCAGTGCCCCCCTCTTATCTTATGATAAAACATATTGTGTGGAGTCACTCTGCACATGCTCAATTTGGTGTGTATTGCCAGAGATTTTTTTTTTTCTTGGGAGAGTGCATGTGATCAGCACAGGGCCAATCAGCACTGTCCAGACAGAGGTCAGGGGTTCTGCATCCTTCTAGCACAAAATGAAATCTCCTACAAGCTTTAACCAGTGCTCTGCTGAACACTGATAGAAGTCACAAGACTGCTCTAACTGCTGATGAGAAAAGGTATTTAGCAGTTTATATTTACTAAAATAACTGCACTTTCATGTTTTGTGTACTGTGGGAGACCAGATATAGTGAATGCAGGGTCCTGGGTTTAGTAACAATTTAATGTAATGCCCACTGGGGGCCCAAAGATCACAACAATCCAGTATTGCATTTTGGCCTTGTCCCCTGCAAACAGAGGTTTCTCCAGATTCTCTGAATCTTTTGATGATAGTATGTGTTGGTAGATGATATATTTGAAAGTCTTTGCAATTTTACAATAAGGAACATTATGCTGAAATTGTTCAACAATTTTTAGACGCAGCTTTTCACTGAATGGTGAACCTCTGCCCATCTTTAGATTTTTGAGATACTCTGGCTAAGTTGCTTTTTTTTTTTTTTATACCTTCTCATGTTACTCACCTGTTTGCAATTATTCTAATTAGTTGAAAATGTTCTTCCAGCTCATCCTTCTTAGTACCACTTACTTTTAATTTCATTGTTGCCCTGTCCCGAATTTTTTGAGACGTATTGCTGCCATCAATTTCAGAATTACATTTTTTTCTTATAATGTTACAATTTCTCAATTTAAACATTTTTTCTTATGGTTTCTGTTTTCTGTTGTGAATAAAATATGGTTTTGAAATTTTTCAAATCATTGTATTCTGTTTTCATGTAGTTATTACACAGCATCCCAACTTTTTTGAAATTGTACATGTAGTGTATTGTGTATACAGTCTTTAGTTCCTTTTATGTTCAGTACTCACTATGTGTTTGTATCGTAGTGCTGGATGTTCTATGGATCAGCACATACGTCTTTGCAGTGGTGTATGCAGCTGCGGATGGCTCTGTAGAAACATCTCCTCAGCTTGTGATGGTCTTGCTTCCGGTATGTCATTTTAATTTTTATCTGTCATGTAGTGTAAAGGCAAATTTTGTTCTAAAAATATATGCTGCATATCTCATACCATTTATACTTAGCCTGCATGTTAGGAACAGTAATTCTGTAAGTGACACTGTATTCATGTTTGAGAATTTGAATTTGCTGCAGAATATTGGTGCATGCAAAACATGGGGCCTGCATACTTTATCAGTTTCCATCCAGAATGCACTGGAACATTCTAATTTGCAAATGGACATTTTCATTTGGTAGTTGGTGCCTAGCCCTGTGTTTCCAAGATTCTGCACTCACAATAGGCCATCCAGGAGGCAGGGCTATCAGTGTCTTCTAGTAGGAAGTCCATACAAGGGCACTTGAGGTTTATTGGTTCCATGTTCACACTAGGTGGACAGAGGAGATGTGCAGATACCTCATGGAGGAGGCGTTCTCACTTGAGTGCATGCAATTCAGAAACCAAAATGTGAGTATGGAGTTTTGGATTCCTGGGAGTTAATGCCAAAGCTCAATGATTAATATATAATTTCACACACTAAAAATAAAGTAAAGCCATTAGATCAGCCATGCCTTTTCTGGTAGCCCCTGTAAAACTTTGTTTTAAAGTTGAACTCTTATTTTTGTTGAACAAATGCCAATATTTAATGCAGAAAAAAGAAGACAAACGAGGGGAGCGCTTCTTGAACTTTACAGAGATCTGTTACTGCAGCATCAACAATGAAAGACAGCATCATTTCTTTATGAATTACATGGAGGACTGGTAAGTTCCACTTGCAGATTCCAAATTTTTCAAGGTTAATATTCTGGTGGTTGTCATTTTAACTTTAATGAAACTTTATAATCTACCTGATATTTGCATTAATTCCTCAAGTCGCATAAGGATTAACATCCAAGCAATAGTTTGCTTGTAAATCGACTGCTTTCATATAATCATAGGTGTCTGTATCTCGCATTGCTGACAGTAACTTGCAAGGGCTGTACTTTCTGGGCTGCGTGATTAGCTTTCAGGTGTTCTTTCCAGTTCAGAACAACTGGGGTGCAAACAAGGGTGGTTTCATTCCACTCCTCCCCACCTGTGGGAGAATGAGGGTTCAGGTGAGGTACATAATTTGGATGAAGAGGATGAGGTTCGCGGTGAAGGTCGAGACTGTTCTTTGGATGAGTCTTCTCAGGAAGAGGCTCAGGGCTCTGGCCTATCTCAGGTATAGAGAATCAATTTTTTTTTGGGGGGGGGGGGGGGGGGGGTTGCAGTAAGAATTTTAAATTTCACCTCTCTTAGGGTCACTGGGTTTAAGCAGTACCCCATAGAGGAGGAGTTCTCCAGAAAAAAAAAAGTGGTGTTCTCCAGCCAAAGACCTGGCTTTCACCTTCCTGAACAACTCTCTCACAGTCCCAGTGGATATACTGTAGTTCCAGGTTTAAGAATGCTATGGATAAGAGCTTTGAGACCCTCTTTAATGACTTAGGAACATATTACAATCTAAATACAAGTGTAGCATGTAACATGTTCCTAAAAGTGAACTAAGCACCTGCTTCCCACTCCCAAAACCCCCTCCCTGTGACAGCATGGGGAGGTTCACTCCCTCACAGCCACTGTCAAAATAAAATCGGAGCTCTGTGAATGAATAAACAACAAGTTGTGTCTGCCTCCGTGACAGACAGACTTGTAATTCTCAATGAACTATTTCTGTTATACTTGGCACTCTAGTAGTCTATTGACATTTCCTACAGCTTTCTAACTAAAAGTTTGTGCAGAGTTATGGGTAGAAAGCTGCAGGAAGTGTGTTCAGGAGCCTGGCATTGCACCCATGACCCACTGATCGCGGAGGCAATGTTTTGCAGGCTCCTGTGAAAAAATGTGAATTTATTATTTTTTTCTTTTACAGTGAACTGCACCTTTTTAAGGCATCTTTCTCCTTGGTGGGAGCAGCCCTGCAGTTGACAGTGGCTAAGGTGGGAGTCTGCCTTGAGCTCAAAGTTCAGGCAAAACATATGCTTCAGTCTAGGGAATCTGATCATGAGGATCCTGCTCTTGGACAATACCTGGAGCAGTTTTCAAAATCTTTTGAGTTTCTTGGCAAATGCTTTAGAGCAGGACTGGTGGCCCTCCAGCTGTTGCGAAACTACAAATCCCACCATGCCTCTATCTTTGGGAGTCATGCTTGTAACTGTCAATCTTGCAGTTCCTCATGGGACTTGTAGTTTGAGCTGGAGGGTTACCAGTTTGACACCTGTGCTTTAGAGGATTCCATTTGGCAGCTATCAAGGCTGGATATAATGTCTGTCCATATGAGATGACTCCTGTGGTTCAAACGTCACTGCCTCTAAACTCCTGTAAACATATAGTGTGCATGGACACACAGGCTAACATGGAGGGGCATTTACAGACAGAGAAAAAAAATTGCCTAACTGCCTGTGAAAGCAGCATTTTTGTGCTCAGGTGTGCATGAGGCCTAAGGAACCACCATAGTGGCTGTCCAATGAGAGTGAACACTTGTTTGGGCCATCCCTGGATGCTTTCATCCAGAAGGTGATTGTGGAGCAGAGCATGCCATTTCCCCTGAAAAAGAAGAGGGAAATCCAACGGGTCAAAAGCTGGGGCCTACTTCAGCCTCCAAGAAGTAGTTCTTTTATCAGCGACAGACCTCAGGCTTTAAGTAAAATCCTACCACTGAGTTTCAAATGAAGAACTGGACCCCAAAGACCTCCAAGCCCAGATAGAAGTCTTCTTCCCAGTGAACAGATACCCCCACTTTTACCAGTGGGAGGAAGCCTGTCTGCCTTCATGGCTGTCTGGACTTGGGAAATTGTAGATGAAGAGTTCATAGCTTGGTGTCTAGAAATTACAAGCTAAATCACCAATACTTTCCCTTTTCAAGCTTCGCCCATTGTGCCTGTGCTGAAAGGGGAAATGGTTTACAGCTTCTATTCAAACCTCTTTACGGTCTCCAAGCCAAACAGATGTCTGGTCTATTCTGGACCTCAAGAATCTCAACAAATTCCTGCTAGTGCGAAATTTCAGGATGGCGTTTACCTAGTCGGTGATTGCTTCATTTCAGCAGCATCCTTGGATATCAAGGATGCCTATCTGCACATCCCCAGTGGATTCTATGGTTTGCTCTTCGGTATTACCACCAGCTTATGGTGCTGTGATCTGGCATTTGCACTGATCCCAGAGCAGTGGAAGAGGTTCGGTGTGTGTGGTAATCCTACTACCTTGTATGTGCAACATGATGCTGGCAAATATCTGACAACACAATGGAAAGATCCTGTGCATGCACAGTAGGAAATTGCAGACCAGGTCACTGCAGCCCATACATGGGCTCTTTATACGTATTCTGATATCAGAACTGTGTTGGTGGAATTCCTGCATTGCATCATGTGCATGTATGTTTTCTAGAGGAAGATCCAACTGTTGTTTAATTTAATTTTCATGTACAGTGTATGTATTCATTGTCACACAGAGATGTTTATTTCTTAATCTTACATCACAGGACACAGACTCTGATATTCATGCTATATTCATTTTTCTGCTACCACCTTTATGCAAATGAACACTGGTCAAAAAAGGCAAGAGTCTCCACCAGGCATAATCCCAACCAGAACAGCTAAGCCTCAGTTTTTAGCTGGGGTTCTCAGGTGATAGATGTGTCTCTCTGATCTCACTCATGGGATTTGTTCCCATAAAACATAGCCTATTCCTTACACCTGATGAAACAAAGGAGGGCTGTATCTGGTTCAGCAGGCCAAGAGGGGTTGTACCCAGACTACTCATGCAAGAGCAGGGATGGTCTGTAATGTTTGCTAGACCCCCATGGTGCAATGAATCTGGTAACCTCTCTGACAGGATGTTCTACAGGTCCAGAGCAGTGATCCCCCTGGAGGGGAGTCGAGTCGAGTCGCTGAAGGCCCTGTGTGGCACACACTTGTGATGTAGCTATGGGCCTTGTAAATGCCTCTGTAGTAGTGGAGTAATGTGTCAGTTCCTCAGACAGTATTTTTCCTGTTTTATTGGCCTTATTTGGGCAGAACCACATGTGCTGGATTACAGCATGCGCCATTTTCACCAGTCACGGCCACAGAATATGTGCATTAATAAAAAGAATTTACCAGCGCCACTACTCTCTAGAGATTTGGTATGGAAGCGGAAAAATAGTTGGCTGGGGATCCTGGACCTACAGATCAGTAATGTATTTAATTGTCAGATCCTAATGGGCAGTGTATGGGTGACTCTTGTTTTTTACTTTCTTTTATTTCACCAATTGTTGTTCCCATTAGCAGTGGTCAGCAATTCCTTACATTTACCATCCATCCACAAGTGGATTTGAGTAGCTTTAGGGTGGCTCTTGCGAAGTACATGTGCATTGCAAGTCCTACACATCAAAAACAAAAAGAAAATACTAGCACTTGCACTAGCTTCCTAATATCTCTTTTCAGCTCACTTAAAGTACACTTGGTCCAGTCTACTAAAGGTTAACAGTCCACAAACACCATCAGTTGCTGCAGCTCCTCACCAGACTTCCATGGGGGGGGGGGGGTCCGGGGTGGTAGTAAGGGGTCAGAAATACTCCTGTAGACCAAAGACAAAAGGAGAGAGCATTCAAGCTCCCTGATGTAGTATACTTTATTAAAACAAGCTTAAAGTGTTACTAAACCCAGGACCCTGCATTCACCATATCTTTTCTCCCACAGTACACACAACATGGACATGCAATTATTTTAGTAAATATAAGCTGCTAAATAGCTCTTCTCATCAGCAGTTAGAGCAGTCTTGTGACTTCTATCATTGTCCAGCAGAGCACTTGTAAAGCTTGTAGGAGGAGTTTTCATTCTCCTCTCACTCTCCTATGAGGCTGCAGGACCCCTGACCTTCTGTTTGGACAGCGCTGATTGACGCTGTGCTGGTCATATGCACTCTCCGAAGAAAAACTTTCTAGCAATACTGTACACACCAAACTGAGTATGTGCAGCTTGCCCTCAAGGCTCTGTCCCATCAGGAGATGGGTTCAGAACAGTAGAAGGGGAAAGATCAGAGAAGACAAAATCAAACATCCTTTTTTACACAATGCAGAGCATTAACCCCTTAAGTTCCACATTGGGTATAACAAGCATTCTTTACTGCATTTACAGATTGATTTTACTGTTTTGGGTTTAGTAACACTTTAATGTACAGTCCTCCACTTTTCTCTGCAGATGAAACCAAACATCTAAGTATCCGCAGGATATATAGGCTCACAGCGTGAACACAAGCTCCATCCACAACACAACTCTTGGCAAGTGTCAAGTACAGCATGCCGTTCAAAACAGAGTTTTCAGCTGGCTGGGGTGGTTGTTTACACCTGTTGCTGGGACACCCTTTTTTGGAGGTGTGATCCCCCCTCCTTTCTCAAGTCTGACGCTTTTCTTGTTTTCCTGTTCTAATATTTAAGGGCAGTGAGCACTCTGCACCATTAGCCCCTTACATACCTACATTGGGCTACTCCTCAGTTTCCTAGCAGGAGACAAAGCTCGTACAAATCATTAGTAAGCAGTGAGAACAACCAAAAATGCTCTGTGGATTCTCTGGACTGAAATATTATATATACAGTGGGCAAAATAATTATTTGATCCCCTGCAATTTTGTAAGTTTGCCCACTTACAAAAAAAATAAAGGGTCAATAATTTTTTTTCATAGGTGTATTTTAAATGATAGAGACAGAATATCAACCAAAAATCCAGAAAAAAAAACACATGATACAAATGCGATAAACTGAATTGCAGTTCAGTGAGTAAAATACGTATTTGATACTCTACCAACCAACAATAATTCTGGCTCCCACAACAAAAAAAAAAAAAAGTAATAAAAAAGTTTTAAAACATAAAAATACAAAATCCCCCCACCCATACTGTCACCAGTCAGTGTCCCTGATCACCGCCTCACCAGTTATATGATGACTGTACTGTATTGTCAACAGTGTAAAAAAAAATCCAAAAAGCATTGCTCAATTTTCAGATTACATACCATAGTTTGTGGACTCTCTAACTTTCCTGCAGACTAAATAATATACACTAATTTGGAATAATTTCACTAAAGAAATGTAGCAGTATACATTTTGGCCTAAATTTATGAAGAACAATTATTTATTCGCACAATTTTATAACAAACAAAAACATTTTTTTTTTTTCCAAAATTTTCGGTCTTTTTTCATTTTTTTTTAACAAAAACCCAGTGGTGATTAAATACCACAAAAAGAAAGCACTAGCTTTGGAAACAAAATGATAAAAATTTAGTTTGGGTACAGTGTTGCATGACCTCTCAATTGTCATTTAAACTATGAAAGAACTGAAAGCTGAAAATTGGCCAGAGCAGGAAGGGGGTAAAGGTGCCCTGTACTGAAGTGGTTCATAATGTATATGGGGTCAGTAGCAAAGGGGGATTTAAATGTTACAATATTATTTCAATGACGATTATAATATATTTATATATGCTGCATATGTATGAACAATTAAATAGTCCTAGATTGTAAGCTTGAAAGAGCAGGGCCCTCGATCCCCTCATGTTTTGCATTGTATTGGTATTGTTCTGTCACATTTTCTGTCCCCCTTTGTAATGTACAGTGCAGTGCTGAGCGAACTATTGGCGCTTTATAAATACTGTATAATAATAATAATAATAATAAATATCTAAAAACTTTATGGTATAAAGACCTGCTTGTGTGCATTGTTCGGCCATGTAAGACGGGACCCACCCCTTCAAGGAGTACTGCCTGACGATCCCATTACGGTCTTCAGATAAGCACATGGTGTTAAAAGCATCATAGCACCCAGTAGATTCAACAATAGGAATAATAGGGATAGATATGTCCACATTTTTAAATATGCATGGTTCCTAGAGCTGTAAGATGTCCGGCTGGGTACTGAACCTTCAGAAGTCAGTCTTAGTTCTTGTGACACAATGTGTGGAGTACCTTGGCCTCCTAACCAATATTGCATGGGCATAGGAACTGGCCTTTGTTATAAAAGGCAAGGTTCCCCCTTTCCTTTCCTGGTGTCAGTGCTTCCAGGGCTATTCTGCTGAAACTACTGTTGTACAAGCTTGTAAGGCTACCACCTGGTCTTTGTTTACAAAATACTACTAGGTAGTTTTTCACATTTCTGTAGATGCTGTTTTGGGTGGAATGTCTTGCAGGAAACTTTGTTTTGGTCCCCCCTTCCCCCACGTTTTTCTTTTTGGGATTGGGCGTGTTGGCCTTGTTGCCATGTAGACCACCCTTCAAGTTCAATACTTTTGGGGCATCCCAAGTAGTTATGAATATCAGAGTCCTCTGTTCTGTGATGTACAATTAGGAAATTAGGATTTGGGTCTACTTGTAAAAGTCTTTTCTTGGTGTACATCACAGGGCACATAGTTCCCCCTCCCCTATTGTTTCTGTTCCTGATTGCTTGCTACAAAACAGGTTTAGCTGAACTGGGAGGGAATATGCCTCAGCAGGGATTCCTGCTTTTTTTTTTTTTTTTTTTTTTTGGTCAGCATTCAATCACCTGAAGGTGGCAGCATAATCCAAATAATCAAGGGACTACATGCCTGGAGTTTGCATGTTCTCCCTGTGCCTGCGTAGGTTTCCGGGTACTCCAGTTTCCTCCCACATTCCAAAGACATGCTGGTAAGTTAATTAGCTCCTGTATAAATCAACCCTGGTATGTATGAATGTGAGTTAGGGACCTTCGATTGCAAGCTCCTTGAGGGTTAGGGACTGATGTGAATTTACAATATATGTAAAGTTTGGCGTAAACTGACATCGCTATATAAGTACATGTAGTAATCATTAATATCAACATTTTCTGTAAACTGTTATGTACTCCTGAAGAAAATTTATTTTATAGGTAAACCAAAAATTCTAATTTCTGTAAAAAAAAAAGTTTAACTTGTCCGTGCAAGAGTGACCTGGTAACATTACTTTATCTCTCTCAGGGATGTCCTACTCGGAGCTTCTGCAGCTTCCGTAGAAGTCAGTGTAATTGCCAAGCTACCTGATCAGGTATTTTTATTTTTTTCCAGTAAATTTTTATTGAGTTTATTATATTTTTAGATTAAGTAAACGAATAACAAATTGTGATAAATATTGGTCAGTTTGCAGTATTAAAGCAGACATTAAACGTTATCAATCAAAAACAACATGTAAACAGGGCAAGGAAGTAGAAGATAAGCTAGCATGTACTATGTTGTAAAAGTGAAAGAAAATTGTTTCAATAGTAGATATTCATTAATAAATTCAATACTTTGAATAACATCTGTGTTGGTTTCAGAGTAACTGAATGATAAATGCCAAATTTTGCAAGGTATGCCACACGAGAAACTCTTGTAAGGGGTTATAAAAGAAGGGTATTGGCTAGATTGGGGAAGTAGGAAGGTTGTTAATAGATGGGGGGGAGATCCAGCGCTGTGCTTGAGAGCAGAAGCACTCTACTCTCTCTCGCTCCTCACTGGCCACAGATGCAGCAGCAGGAGCCATTGGCTCCTGATGCTGTCAATCACAGCCTGTGGGGAGATAGCAGGGGGAAAGGCCGATCCACGCTGTGTGTCATTGGACAAAGCGCTTGGCTTTCGATCAAGCCTGCACGAGTTCCCCCAAAGAAAGCAGCTTGCTGTGTGGGCATTCAGGAGGTGGGAGGAACCAGGAGCACCATCCGGGGACCCGAGAAGAGGAGGATTGGAGCTGCTGTTTGCAAACCCATTGCACAGAACATGTATGTAGGCATGTATGACTTGTTTATTGTTTGAAAAAAATTAAACGCTTTACAATCACTTTAAAGTGGTTGTAAAGGCAGACGGTTTTTTTTTATCCTAATCCATTCTATGCATTAAGATAAAAAACCTTCTGCATTCAGCTCCCCTTATACTTACCTGAACCTGATTTCGAACCAGCGATGTGCATGAGAGCTGCTGCTCTCTCCCCCCTCATTGGCTTAGAGTTAGCAGGAGCCATTGGCTCCTGTGCTGTCAATCTCAGCCAATGAGGAAGGAGCAGTGTTGAGCCAGCTCTGTGTCAGTGGACACAGATCTAGCTTGGGAGTTAGCAGGAGCCATTGGCTCCTGGTGCTGTCAATCTCAGCCATGAGGAAGGAGCAGTGTTGAGCCAGCTCTGTGTCAGTGGACACAGATCTAGCTTGGGATCGAGTATGCATGAGCACGCCCATAGCAAGCGGCTGCTGTGGGGGCATTCAATGGGGGGAGGGGCCAGGAGTGCAAGTGGGGTACCCGAAAAGAGGAGGAACACCACTACTCATCCAAGATTGGAGTTCAACCTAAGTGCATTTGATCTGCTTGTATAAGGGGTTAACATATTGTGGTGAGTGCTGTGAACAAGGGGGAGCACGAGTGGAAGCACAGATTTTGATTATCACCATTTTTGAACAAAGAGCATATTCACTGAAGCACCAAGATCACAGAAAACTGAACTAAAATTTGTTAAAGGCGCAGGGACATCATAGTCCCGAGGGGATCAAATGTTGATTTGTTGTGCTGTCATATCATGTTTATTAATCAGTATAAGGATGGAGGTGCACTGTAGTTTCACAGGCATCCAGTTGATGATCACAATATAATTTTGGTATAATATATTTAACACAGTGTGGAAACACTTTTCAGAGATGTTGAATGCGGGAGGTGCATTGCAGTGTTTGCACCTTTTTGGTAAGGGATAGTATTTGTTTCACATTTTTATTTGCTCACTTCATTTGTATGCACAGGTCTGCAGGTTTTGAAAACGTAAGGAGATATCAGTACACAGCAAGTGGGGGAGGTGTATTGTAGCACCCACAATGCATATAATTATTATATGCACTAACATACGTCACGTATCCTAACACACAGTTTTAGTTTAGAGGCAGCACTATACCATCTTTTTTTGTTTTCACACATCCCTATAGATTTGTGTTAGGTGTAAGCAGTGGCTCATCCTCATTTATCATTGTGTGGATCTATATCTTGACTTTCAAGTCTAAGGATGGCCCACAAACATTCCTCTCATTCTCAAGAGAGTTCGCATAAAGGCACCAAGAACTCTAACTTCCTCCCCAGCCAGGAGTGCAAAAGGACCCTAGCAGGGTAAGGTACAGAGTGTACTTCAGGTCTGCCATCACCCTTGCCATGCAAAGTAAGAAGGTAGCTTCTCTTTCAGTAGCTTCTGGGAAAGTCTTATTTCACACATGCAAGTTCACAAAGTTCTTTCTTAAGGCAACAAAATCGAATTCCAATCCATTCCCTCGAAGCGTTTCTTCACTTTCAATCTTTTGCTGAAGTACTGAGGGTTATTGAGAAAGTGGGGATAATTGTTCCCATTTTGACTTTTCCCATTTTGAGAGATTGATAATTCTATATAAAGCTGATCCTCAAGAAGGAAGGGGGTCCAACCTACCATTGACTTTAAAGGTTCTCAATGTATTTGTGAGGGTTCACAAGTGCAGGATGGAATCCATACTGTTGGTAATTGGATTCTAACATCTCAAGATTTCCTGATGTCTGTACATATACAGGACTCGTACCTAAAAGTTCTGGTCTTGAGTCACGATCCCCCCCCCCCCCCCCCAGAAATTTGTTGTAAGGAAAGGTCACTCTGAATTTGTGGTGCTGACTTTTTGGCCTGTCCTCAGCCCCAGAAGTAATAATTTATAGTTTTGCTTTCAGTTCTACCTGGGCAATTTACTGTTGGGGCCGGATTCATATTAGGACTTGGCAAAGAATCTTTAGGTGACACTGTGCACATTACAAGAATTTGGCTGGATCCCAAATGTCACAATGTCTTGTCTTTGTATCTCTCCTTTCCTGCAGTGTCCGGGACTGGGATCTTGACCTAGTTCTTTCTGTTTGCAGAAACTGCCATTTGAAAACTTTTGAGAAATTCCTTTACTCTCGTTATTACAAAAGGTAGCGTTTCTTTTGATAATTGTTTCAGCTAGGAGATTATCTGAATGGGTGGCATTGTCATCGTCTTTCCTTATCCTTCATAAGAACACAGTGATTCTCTGGCTGAGACATTTTTGTTCCCGCCAAAGTTTTTTTTTTTTGCCTTCTATATCAATGAGAACACTGTGCTTTCTTCACTCTACATCCAACAAACATTGCGCTACAAATATGGATGTAAAAAGGATATAGTGAGCACTCAGGGAGAAAAAGTCTCAGCTGTTAGCACAAAAAGGACAACCCACTTTTATCCTCATAAACATAATAAAAAGAAAGTGCAGCGCTATAGTGAATAACATGGCTGACTTGAAAATGATAAAACAATGGGTGACTTGCGTGGACAAATAATCAGTGCATAGTTAACAATATGATATGATCAATCAATCTCTTATGTATAGTGTCCAAAATTTGTAAATAAACATGACATCAAGTGATGAGTGGATCAGTGACAATTCTTCCTCCTAATGCACTCACCAGAAACATATAATGTATGCTCATTCAAAATATTATTATTATTCAGTATTTATAAAGCGCCAGTAGTTCGCTCAGCGCTGTACATTACAATGGGAGACAATACATGAGACAGTACAATAACAATACAGTGCGATACACGAGGGGTTCGAGGGCCCTGCTCCTTGGAGCTTACAATCTAGGAGGGATAGAAAAAATAGAAATACTCCTCCAGCAGGTCAGCCTTATCCACCACCAGGTACAGGTAAAAGGTATGCACAGCTTTAATTCAACAGAGACAGTTGATTCCCCCAAAAGGTGGCTCGATTCTTGGAAGCAAAATGACCCAACAAAGATTGCCGCCGGACCATCATATGGACACTGCGGCGTGACATCAGGGAGGAGGAGCCTACGTTTTATCATTTTCATGTCGCCCATGTTATTCACTATAGCGCTGCACTTTCTTTTTGTCTTATAAATATGGATGTATTTAGGGCCCTTAGTGGACTTGCTTGTTGTCGCTATTGGTCCCCAAAAAGGGGTTTTCTTCTTTTACCATCTCTAAATAGATAAAATAGATCATTTCATAGGCTAATGCTCTTAGGCATAAAGAGCCACATTTTCCTATTACTGCTCATTCCACTAGGACAATTGTTATTTTGGCCTTTCATCATCAGGCCCCATTGTCATGGGTGGCGACTTGGTCTTCGGTGTGGAGTTTTACATAATGCTACAAAGTTGATGTGGCTGTGTTGGCAGATGCTAGCTTTGACTGTATAAAGTCTTGCAGGCAATAGTATAAATCATACTGTTTAGTAAGGGTGTATGTAATTCCTTTTCTTTTTTGCATTTTTGGTCTTTGCCTGCCCTTTGATTGCTTGTGGAGAATTGGATTGATTCAGGTTGATCTTCTACCTACTAGGCAGTAAAGCCGGCCATAGATAGTCGAAAACTGAATGAAAATTCTTGTCTGTTGTTGAATTTTTTGTTTTTTCAGATCATTGGCATACCATCTGCAACACATGATTTTCGTGCTGCAGTCGAAAGTGCCTGATCCAACGTGCTGGGTTTTTTTTTTTTTTTTTAGAAACACTATAAACAAATGCTGGCTCAGACGTATGAGCTATTTTGTTGTTTTTTTGACCATCAGAACGTTCAGTTTTTGACTCCTCTATGGCTGGCTTAAGCCAGCTAGTAAGAAATGAGTTACTGCAGTGATTACTTATGAGTTCTGCAAACAGGCTTCTTTCAGCATTGTCTCAGCAAAGATACAAAACAACATGAAAAAAGAAAACTAGAGATCCACCTGCTTGTCCTAAAGAAAAATGTAAAAAAATCAAAATGCAGTATTGCATGATAAATTAAAAAAAAAAAAACATCCCTATCAATGTTCTCTGTTTACTGGTGTGTATCTTTAAAATGTCAATTGTGTCTAAATATGTTTCGGGACAGCAGGGTCTTTTCTTTTATATGCCCGGTAATGAATTATTGTATAACTTTGGCTTTTTTTTTTTTTAACCAAGATAACAAACGTGTCATAGTTACCTGCTCTGTGCAATGGAGCAGGCCAATATTCCTCTTCTTGGTCTCCTGCCGGCGCTCCTGGCTCTTCCTTGAGCCAGAACCCCTACAGGAAGCGGCTTCCTCTGGGGATCCTCTCTGCCTGCATCCATAGACAGGCAGCGGGGCACGACCCCACTCAAACGTCACAGAATTCGATTGACAGCAGTGAGAGCCAATGGTTCCCACAGCTATGGATCTGCCCTGTGAGGAGGGACAGAGCAAAAAGAGTCGCTGCTCCTCTTGAACAGCACTGGACTGTGTATGAATAGAGTCCATTAAGGTAAATAAATGTAAGGCTTTAGAACCATAACAGCAGAGCTGACAAAGCCTTTTTTAGGTCTGAATTTTTTGTTGAGGCAGCTTTGAACTACTTTTTGTAAAACACACAGCTGTTATGACACTGCTTCCTTGTTTAATGCATGATCTCTCTTACAGAACACCTGGGAACTATGGATTTTGGAAGATTCTGGCCGAGCTGAGCTACCATTATCGGACAGCAACGATGACACATTGCCTATGGGAGTTGTACTTGATTATACCAGCCAGCTAGAAATAGCGATCAGTATGTACTCCTATAGTTTAATTTTAATAGCATCCCTCTGAACTCCTGATTTGTTTGGTGGGCCACAATAGAACACATCAGCCATGTCTCTAGGAGTTCAGGCAGTTAAACACTAACCATAGCTTTTAGCAAACTATATTCTTTGGCTAATATGATTTGCTGTCAGTGCTTGCTTTGTGTTACATTCTTTGGCACTGTTTTTGCATTCAGAAGAAAAAACATAGCCAGGTCTGCATTAACTTGGACATTGTTTACACATCCTAGCCCAATAGACAGCACCAATTGGTTGTAATCATGGTGAATAGGAAATTATTCTGTTTTATATAATTGTCCTGTGATGCAGTTCCAATTAGTTCAGGTGCCCAGAATCACTTGTGCATATCTTCAGTTATCTTCTAGAGCTCCTAAACCACTCCCTCTAACTGGCAGATTTTGGCTTGAATGTTGGTGCTTGGTCCTACTCCAGCTCTCTGTTGGTTATTGATATCACCAAATGCATTAGCTAACCAATATACAGTAGCATTAAGGAGTTAGTTAATGACTTCCTAGTGGAAGTCTGTGTTTGCATTTTAAAGTGCATTGAAATTAGGGGACTCTCAAGGTGTTGTAGAACCGGGGTTTCCAACCTTTTTTCAAACAAAGGGCAAGTTTACTGTCCTTCAGACTTTAGGGGGGCCGGATTGTGGCCAGAGGGAGTAGAAAATGTCCTGGACCCAGCATCAATGGGAATAAACATAGTCTTAGACTTGGTAGTCAGTAGAAGGAGGCGTAGTGCCCCACCATCGGTATTAGTGAAAGGAATAGTGCCCTATAATTGGTATCAGTGGAAGAAATTGTGCCTCATTGTTGGTGTCAGTAGGAGGAATCGTGCCTCATATCATTGGAAGGCTTAGTGCCCCACCAGATAAAGGCTAGCAAATGGCTGCATCCGGCCCTCGAGCCACAGTTTGGAGTCCCCTGCTGTAGAAGATAACTGAAAATATGTGCAAGCACGTCTTGGTGCTGTACAATCTATTGTTTAATTCATCTGGAAGAACTAGAGGTACACCACAAAAAAATTTAGTAACCAGTCAGTTGTATTTTTTAAATTCTATGCTGGCAGTAGTTTCAGTAGCTTTGGTCTGGATAATACCCAATGCTTAAAAGGAAAAAAAGAAAAAACATTTGCATACCTTCCACTTGCCCTCCAGAGGATTTACCCCCCTTCCTGACCAGGCACTTTTTTGTGTTACAGTACTACTTTACTTTAACTGACAATTGCGCAGTCATGCAATGCTGCACCCAAATTAAATTTACGTCCTTTTTTCCCCACAAATGGAGCTTTCTTTCGGTGGTATTTGATCGCCTGTGAGTTGTTTTTTTTTTTTGCGCTATAGACAAACAAAATTCTGACAATTTTGAGAAAAAAAAACAGTATTTTTGACTTTTTGCTATTAAACATGTCCAATAAAAAAATCAATTTTCGTCATAAATTTAGGGCAAAATGTATTCTGCTACATTTCTTTTGCTAAAAAAAAATCCTAATACATGTAAGTGATTTACGTGAAAGTAATAGCGTTTACAAATGGCGGTGTATATATCCTGGAATTTTATTTTTTTTTATTACTAGTAATATCGGCGATCAGCGACTTGTAACGGGATTGCGGTGGGCATGCTGACACTGGGGGGAACTGACTTTGTGCCATTGACATCCCCAGCGACACCAATACAGTGATCAGTGCTAATAAAAAGCACTGACACTGTACTAAAGGCACTGGGCAGGAAAGGGTTAACATCTGGGTTGATCAAAGGGCTAACTGTGTGCTGTTTCACAGTATGCTGTGTGTGTGCTTTCCACTGTAAGCACACTGCTTTGTATGGCTCTGCTATGTATTGTTTACATACAGTTCTCTCCCCCGTTGGTTATACTTGGCGATCACCGTCCGGGACCCGGTAATTGACAACCAAAGCTGTGTATGGGGGCGTGGGTAGGCCACGCGCGCCCCCTACCCGCAACTGCAAAGTCACATGTATATATACGTGATTTTGTGCTCACCTGCTGCCCTGTAGCTGTATTTCTGCTATAGGGTGGAGGGGAAGCAGTTAAGCTTTTGGTATTATTGCCAGTAGATTAGGCTAACAGATTGCTGAGATTAACAGTATCTAGCCCTTACAGTTTCTAAGATTGTGAAAGTAGCCATGAATGTTTTCTTTGCCTGGTTTCTACAGATGAAGAGAAAGTATTGCCTCCTTCCCCCATACTTATTATAATTTCAACTGATGGTGTCCTGTGCCCATTTCATGTGATCAACTTAATTCCAAATGCAAAGTCTCTTACCACACCCCTGGAAGAACTCCGACTGGAGGGGGAGCGACAGTCTAGAAGTGGTAAGTTTATGCTTTCTTTGCACCTTGTTTACTTTTAGAAAGTGATTGTAGGTTGTCAGTTTCAGAAAGTTGTTACACCACCTTTCAGTGCTATTACGCTTTGAATGACGATTGTGCAGTCATGCAACACTGTACCCATATGAATTTGTTAGCATTTGTTTGAGACCCATAAAACTTTATTTTGGTGGTATTTGTTCACCACCTGGGATTTTTATTTTTTTCCTATATAAATGAAAAATTCCAAAAATTTTGAAAAAGTTTCTTTTAAAATTTTGCAAATAAATCTTTCTTCATAAATCTTGGCCAAAATTTATTCAGTTATCTTTTTTAGTAAAACCAAAATGACCCAAATTAGTTTATAACCAAAACTTTTAATTTTTAGAAAAAATTTTTACATTTTATTTAATTTTTTTATGTTTTATTTTTTTTAACATACTGTCACCCTATCAGTACATTGTCATCATAGTGACACTGTACTACTTGTGGGGGGGGGGGGGGGGGGGTGATTTTTTTTTTTCTTTTTTTATACTGATTGCTTTTACATCCATAAAGGCTGTAAAAGCAATCATTTCTGCTTCTCTAAGGCTGCATTTTTGCAGCCATTAAGAAATACTGTGGGAGCTGTGATTGGTCACAGCTTGTCACATGGTCCAAGGCTGTTGTGAATAGCCTTGTACCATGTGACCTCAGTGATCATCCACAGATTTCACAAGTAGTAAGCAATGATGTCAGGAAGTGACATCTTGTTACTACTGTTCATGTGATCACTGATTGGCCAATCAGTGATCACATGAATTGGGGCCGGACACAGCGTTCACTGATTGCGATGATGCCGAGCGCTCCCAGGGAGTGTGCACAGGCAATGGGTGCGGGGGGACGTTTATAAACATCCACCCGCAACGGCAGCGCTCCTGTCTGACCGTTTATCGACATGGGCCGGACGGGAAGAAGTTAATAAAGTGCTGTTGTAACGTTTATTAAGAATTCATAAAGTACAGAAGTTAAAACTCCTATAAAAATTCATAAGTGTTAAAAAGGCTAAGTTCACCTTTTTTATAAAAAAAATAAAATGTACACTTATTATTATTTTTCTTTTTCACTCAGCCGCCTGTAAAGTATTGCACTTGCGATCACCAGATCACGGGTACAATGCCAAAATCCTGCACAGACTCAGTCAGCCATACGGGCAGACTTCTAGGGAAGTATCAATTAACTATTAGAGTGCACACCAGTGCCCTAGCAGTTCATTGAGAACTACAAGCCGTCAGCTGCAATGGTAGACAGTAGTTGTAGTTCATTCATTCACAGGAAACTGAATGAATGACGCGGTCATGTGGACGCAACCCCGCACAGCGGCACTGTAAATTGTGACAGCAGGTACAGCAAGTAGATCCCCTGCCCACTGTCACAATACGGGCAGGTGAACTTTGGCAACTAAATACGTATGTAACACCACACCAAAGGTGAACTTAATTCAAATGGTGTGATAAAAAACAAATAAAGGTATAGGCATTTAAAGTGCAGAAAGAAATGCGTCAGATGCAATCTATTCTTTTAAATGATCACTCTGGGCATCTGACAGATTGCTTTGAGTACTTTACATGGACATGTATTGTGCTTTGTGGATGCAGCACTGAAATTAGCAGCACTTTATATGAAATGTATGTATTTGAACTTTAGGACTGACAGTCTGACACTATGGACTTTTTTGTTGTTACACTTTGTGAATTGTTTTACACTTTGAAGAATTTATAGAAGTTTTAGTTTGTACACTTTACATGAAGTCTTCTTAGCTTAGATTACACATTCAGACTTTCCGAATCATCAGTGTGATGAGAAAAGATTAGGTAGGTTCTGAGCACGGTATACTCTTTATTGATGTATAAGTAGTAAGTACCTAAGTTTAAGAGGTCAAGACCCCTTGTAAAAGTTTGTGAAGTACACATGAAGAGGTATTTCTGCTTAGGAAAGGTAATGGGTCCCACAAGGTGCCTGGCCAGGGCAGGAATTTCGGACTTTGTTTACAAATATGGATGAGTTAATGAATAAAAAAGGCTTCTTAACGAAACTATACAATTAAAGAAAAATGGGTGCATCCCTTCCTAACATGATAGTTGCCGAGCTGTTGTGATGATCCACCAACCTAAATAAGTATGGCCAAAGCTCTTTTGGCAAGACGACTCATATGGGTCACAGGAGCGCACTTTGTTATGCACTGCTGTGACCCGTTGTCTGCTGACATCACTCGGCCTATCCAGGCTCAGGATAGATCCTGACTTCACAGTGAGCAGCTGAGAGTCCGAGCCCGCTCTAAGAGTGAGAAGTCAGCGATCACATGACTGCTGATCGTTGAGCACTCACAGCCGTTCTGTGCAGAGTGCGGTGTCTGTCAGTCACTGCTATCTGCTCTGCCCCAATTACAATTACCCCCCCCCCCCCGCACTGCGGCTGTGGGGGGGGAGGAGCGGCTGACTCAGGCTCTCAACAGGTCGCTGAGAGGCTGAGCCAGGTGCCGCTGTAGACTTTGGGGTGGATCCCAAATTTGAAGTCAGGATCCACCCCAGCTTGGACCAGCTGAGGGACGTCAGCAGAAAATGGGTCACAGGAGTGCAGAATGAACTGCACTCCTGTGAATCACAAGAGTAGTATGGCCAAAAGAGCTTTTGGCTGTACTTCTCCTTTAAATCTCCATAGGAGGATGGGGGGGGGGAGGTGTTTATTTGCAAAAGTAAAGGTTTCCTATTACTGGTTTCTAAATCACTGACCTGAAACAAGCTTGCAGATTGCAGACTTCACTTGCTGTATTGTTGTTTCAAGTCTTTGATTTAGTAGGTGTCACAGCTAAAAATCAGCTACCTAGCATTTTCACTTGAAGATCAGCATACAAACCAACAACAGCTAAAATTGCAGTCAATCGAGCATTAAGGTGCAACATCTGGTGACCATGCCTTTTGCTTATTATTTTAGGAAAGTTTGTTGGATGCACACTGCATGAAGTTTTAATCTTAATTCAAAGTATCTTCTGGTCTGAGCAAAATGGTGGTAACATTGGTAAAACCTTTAGGCCCCTTTCACACAGGTTTTCCATATGTCCGTTTTTCATCTGTCCCTTTACGGATGAAAAATGGACACCCATGTATTTCTGTGGACTAATTGATGTAAACAGATGATCATCTGTTTACATTCGTTAATGTCCGTATCCGTTAATATCCGTTTTTTTTTTGTTTGTTTTTTTTAATGGAAAAAACCCTGTTTTTCTTCCGTAAAAAAATAAACGGACGGTGAACTGATCCATTTTTTTTCTTGGAAAAAAACATGACTGAATTGATGAAAAACAGAACGCCCTTGTGAAAGGGGCCTTCATGCAATATTGTCTATTATTGAATCAAAAAATAAGTTGCGTTCTTAACTTGTTTTTTTTTTTATATCTTTGCAGCATCAAGCGTTCCTTCCCATGCCCCCCAGGCTCTTGGAGCTCCACCTAGTACACTTCCAGCCATCAATCCATCTTTTAACATTCCTGTATCTAACCTTGCTTCCAAAGTTATGCCATCACCCCCTGCATTTAGTTTGCCTGACACTACCAGCAAACCTGCCCAGGTGTTCACTCCTGCCGCTGCAAGTTTTTCCACCAAACCGCAGACCGCGTCACAGGTGTTCAGTGCTCCTGCAGCAAATTTTCCCAGCAAACCTCAGGCTACTCCGCAGGGATTTGGTGCAACTGCTCCAAGCCTGCCCAGCAAGCCACAAGCTAGTGCTTCACATTTTGGTGTCTCAGGCCCTGTTGGAAAACCTCAAGAATCTACTACAACTTTTAGCTTTTCTACAAATTCACCATCTGCTTCAGTAGGAACAGCCAACACTGGCTTTTCTGTGGCAGCAAATCCCCAGGGTTTTTCCTTCTCTGTGCAGGGACCTCCAGCTTTTGGAACCTCCTCTTCCAAGCCGGACAACTCCCCTAACATCGCACAACAACCAGCGGGCTCCAGTTTTGCATTCTCTACATCTAATGTCAAAGTGAACCTTAACGAGAAGTACGTACAAAAACAGAAAAACCATCACACGTAGCATAACTTGTATTGTGCTCATAAATGGATGTTAAAATGTAATTTCTACCATTTTTGTTAGTTTTGAAATGATGTTGGGTTGGAGCCTCTGTTGGGTTTTTTTTTTTTTTTATGTCCTAAATACATAAGCTCACTCTGTTTTTCTGTTCCATACTAGAAGGTAAGATAATGTAATCTTCCCCAAATTAATAGAAAAAAAAGATAAATATTTTTAAAGCAGTTCTCCAAGCTGAAGGTTTTTTACCTTAATGCATTCTACACATTAGGGTAAAAAAGCTTCAGTATGCCTTCCCCCCCATTCGTCTCCTTTATACTTACCTGAGCCCAATATCAATCCAGCCAGTGGCTCCTGCTGCTGTTAACCACAGCCAATGAAGAGGGGGTGGGGCAGAACAGCACTTTGTGTCTATGGACACACAGAGCGGTGCTTGGGAGCAAAAAGAATTACTATGGATGCACTCAGTGGAGGGGGGAGGAGCTAAAGAGTGCCAGCAGGGAACCTGAGAAGAGGAAGAGCGGGGCTGCTGTGTGCAAAACAGTTGCACAGAGCAGGCAAGTATAACATATTTGTTAGTTTGATTAAAAAAAAACCAAAAACCTCATAACGTTTAGAACCACTTTAATTCTTCTTTACTTTAGCCCTAGTCCATAATGATGTGACTTTTCATGCAATTTGAACAGTGAAATCTCATAACAGATCGCATCCAATGATCGCCAATGGAACCGTTGTAAACGAAGTCACACCGCTTTTGAAAAGTAGTTCCTGCACTACTTTTGCCGTTTTTGGGTGCACTTTGCATAGACATCTGCATGAAGTCGTACAGATGTCTGCAGGTCACACCCGAAGTCGCATTGACATGCAACTTTGAAATCGTACAACTTCAAGTGAAGTTGCACAATTTCTAATTTGCATGCAGCGTGAATGGGGGCTTTTTATCTTTATTTCCTTAATATGAGAATTTTGGTCTGGACAGTATGTGATTGGGTAACCAGTGCTTTTATTATTAAAGTGTTACTAAAGTCAAACATTTTTTAAATTAAAATAACAAACATGTTATACTCGCCTACTCTGTGCAGTGGTATTGCACTGAGTGGTCCCAATTCTCCTTTTTTCGTGTCCTCCGCCGGCAGTCTTGACTCCTCCACCTCCTCTTAGTGTGCCCCCATAGCATGCCTTTTGCTATGGCGGCACACAATGTCTGTGCACTCCTGAGCTCTATGGGGACTTAGCCCCACCCCCCACTTCCTTCTCCTTGCATTTGACTGACAGCAGCTGGAGTCAATGGCTCCTGCTGCTGCTCAAGTGCTGTGTGAAAAGGAAGAGAGGGGAGAAGAGATGTAGCCATGCACAACGCTGGATCTATTCTTCCCCTTCACACAGGGATGTTGGTGGGGCGGCAAAGAAATAGGAACCGTTTTTTTAGCTTAATGCAAGGAATGCTTTAAAGTTTTACTAAACCCATTTCCCTGCATCCACTATATCTGGTCTCCCACAGTACACAGAACATGGAAGTGTAATTATTTTAGTAAATATAAACTGCTAAATACCTTTTCTCATCAGAAGTTAGAGCAGTCTTGTGGCTCCTATCTGTGTCCAGCACTAGCTAAAGCTTGTAGGAGGAATTTTCTTTCTTCTCTGGGAGGATGGAAATCCCCTGACCTCTGTCTGGACAGTGCTGATTGGCCCTGTGCTGATCTCTAGGAAAAAAAAAAAAACCTGTCTAGCAATATACACCAAACTGAGCATGTGCATGCCTACAGTTTAGTCTGGTGATAAGTGGTAGTCGCTTGAAAAAGGGGAGGAAAAGAGAAGAAAGGATCAAACAGCCTTTTTATACAATGCATAGGATTAACCCCTTAGCTTTCACAGCGAGTATAACAATCATGCTTTACTGCATATACAGATTGATATTACTGCTGTAAGTTTAGTAACACTTTAAGGTAAAAATGTTTTTAGCTTTAGTATCACTTTAAATGTTAACATTCCACTCTTAACTGCATAGTGCTTGAGGACAGGAGTGGATAATATACTGCAGAATTTGGGAACCTGGAAGTCTTACCAAGGAGCCAGTATAATCTTAAGCAGCCAGGGAACATGAGTATATATGGTGAGCTAGTGGTCTAATGAGTTTTTGAACTGCACTAGCATTAATTTCATAGGTGATTATGCTCTTTATATGTTACCATATATGTTGAATTTCTGTATATTCAATTCCTCTTTCTGTTCTAGATTCAGTGCTGTTGATGTAGCAGCCACGAAATCTGGTTTTGCTCCTCATAGCCAGTCATATCCTTTAACTCCTCCCGTGAAGTCCACAGTGGCAGTTGCTCCCCAGAGCAGCATTGTGCCTCCACCACTTCAGTCACCGTCCTTGATGGCTCCTAACCGCTCGTTTCCTGAGGGTAATTAACTGATAAGACTAAATTTAATGTAGTGAAGTATATGGTCTCCAATAACTCCTTTTTATAGAGATATATATGTAATGTGTACAGTGCTGAGCAGCAGTCCTGGCTTCCCCTATCAAATGTAATTTTATGCTGATTTTCCCAGATGGAAGGTAACAAAATAACTGCAAGAAACAAGTTAAATATGATTATGTTTCTGCAAATTTTAATACATGACTACTATTTTCTGCATTTAAATGGAAGCTAAATTATGTACTAGTAAATGTAAACCTAACTTGACATTTATTTTACTAAAACACTGTGGGGAGCATTTAAATGGAAGCTAAATTATGTACTAGTAAATGTAAACCTAACTTGACGACATTTATTTTGCTAAAACACTGTGGGGAGCATTTATTAATCTTGTTGTAAGACAAAAACCATGCTAAGCACCAGCAGTGAGAAGCACCATAAGACATATTTACTAAAAAATTACAGTCTGAGTCTTAGAGGAATCCTTACCCTGTAAACAAAAATGTAAAAGTCAGCATCTTCAAATACAGTAGCTGCTCACTTTTAAAAAAAAAAACACACACTTACCTGTCCCAAGATCCAACAATGTCCTCATCTGACCCAGCTCTTCACCGGTCTTCAAGTCTAGGCATCTTCACTGTGGGCAGCCGACCGTGACTCCTTGTGCCCACAGCCAGCCGCCCACTGTGCATGTGCAAACCACACTGCGCCCTATGAATAATCCTGCAGTCTCCTGGGACCCATGACATGCCCCAAGAGGTTGCGAGTGAAGGAGGGGGGCCAAACTATTTGGTAATAAGTCTGCTGTTGAACTTTGCAAAAGGTTGCAATTGGCTGCCCAGGAATACATGTCACAGAAATGTTGCTCAAGGAGACATAGCCTGATTTGTAACCAATTGAGTTGCCAGTTGTCCCTTTGTGTATAAGTAATTGCCTCGTTTTGTCTTTAAATTGCCTAGTCTATTTCATCCTTTATTGCATTGTAACACTACTGGATTCCCTGCAGCCACATTAATTTGCTCCAGTGAAGGCTGCATGTCATAGCTCAGAGACCGTTTCTTGTTGGCGACAATAGTAAAACCTGCACTGCAAAAAGCATTGGCAATACAACTTTTAGAGCAGCAGACGAGATCTGTGTGCAGACAGGGGCACCAGCCGAATGCTCTGGCATAAATCCTACCTCGCTCCAAAAAAATCTAATGTGCATGCTATTATCAAATGCAGGTATTTGCTTACAGTGTGTTTGTTATCCTTCCTAAAAGCAGAATGCTTTTGCACAGTCTGTGATGCCTTAACTAATGTTTTTTTTTTTTTTTTTTTTTTTTTCTTCAGGCCATCTGCAACAAGCAACCCCAGTAATGCGCCAGAAGACATTGAAGATCAGTTCATCAGAGGTGAAGCAAACACCTCCTCAGGTAATCTTCTGCGTCCCATGGCAGGGAAATATAAAACATTTTGATTTTGATGAGTAGCTGAAAGGAATAAAAAAAAAAAGTCCCATCCATACCAAGCCCTTCGGGTCTGGTATGACTTTTGAGGGGAACTCCCACGCCAAAATAAAAAAAAAAAAAATCCAGACCAGACCCTTATTCGAGCATGCAGCCCGGCAAGTCAGGAAGGGGGGCGAGTGAGCGCATTCCTTTGGGGCCTGACCGTGTTTGTGGGGGTCTGTGGGCAGGGTGATTATCGGAATCTGGAAGCCCCCTTTACCAAGGGGGCCCCCAGATCCTAGCCCCCCCTTGTGAATGAATTTATCAAACGCAAAAATCAAAAGAATGTCCCCCGCAGCAGATCCAACGTTAATAACAATGCTCGCCGCCACCAATCAGAAAAAGGAATTTAAAAAAAGCTCCACTCCTGACAATCCATCTGCCTGCTCTGGTGGTTTCACAGTTCTTAAATATGTAAGGGGCGGGGCCACCCAGAGACATCAGGCATGGGACCCCACCCCCCATCAATGATGTCACATGGGGCGGGGTCACTCAGGTGATGTCTCTGGGTTGCCCCTCCCCTTACATATTTAAGAACTGTCAAGCCACCTCAGAAGCAGATGGCTGGAAGCCATCGTCGGGAGCGGAGCCTTTTTTTAAAATTCTTTTTTTTTTTTCGGGTTGGCGGCGGCGGCAGTGACGGCGGGCATCGTGATTGACCTTGGATCTACTGCAGGGGACACTTTTAGTTTTTTCTTTTAATAAAGAACTTAAGACCGTGTCCTGTCTTTTTTCACGCTCCGCTTGTTTTTTTGTGAATGAGTAGCGGTATCATGTACCCCATACGCATTCACATAATGGGGGTGGGCCGGGTTCTGGGGGCCCTCTTGTTCACGGGGGCTTCCAGATTTCGATAACCCCTCTGCCCGCAGACCCCCACAACCACCGGCCAGGGTTGTGTGGAAGAGGCCCTTGTCTCCATCAACATGAGCCCCCCCTTCCCCAAAGCACCCCCCCCATGTTGAGGGCATGTGGCCTGGTATGCTTGGACTGCCGGGCTGCATGCTCGGATAAGGGTCTGGTATGGATTTTGGGGGGGACCCGCACGCCTTTTTTTTTCTCCTAGCGTGGGAGTTCTCCTCAAAATCCATACCGGACCTGAATGGCTTTGTATGGATGGGAGGGGGGACCCTACGCCATTTTTTTTAAATTATTTTTTAAATTGCCAATAATTCTTTTACATTCAGCTGACAGCTGAAACAATAACACATGGTTGTCACTGCTAAAATACCGCGTGATTTGATAAAATAACTCATGCAGTATTTTTAGTAGCATTTACTTTTTTCTGACCTTCGGAACGGATTAATTGGTTTTCAATGCATTCCTATGGGAAACAGTGTTTCGGTTTACGAATTTTTTGCTATATGGAAAGTCCTGCAGAATGAATTAAATTAGTAAACCGAGGTATTACTGTACTTGCAGGTTCCAGGCACCAAATGTGTTATATATGGTGCAGTTTTATTTAACAGATGGTCCTCCTATCTTGTATTCACTTGCTTGGAAGTCATTTTGTATTATTCTCTGACATTATTACTACAAAATCACAGACAGAAAAAGAAACTCAAAAGGGCATGTATCTTTACAGGGTGTTTGCTGGAAACCTTGAATATGTTGATTTTGGGGTTAACGGTGATGTTGAATTCTGCTCCCACGGCAGACCTAATCTTTACACAGTTTGTGTCCTTTTCCGCAGCCCCAAGCTACCAACCCTATTCTAAATGCAATGCAAGAAGAGGTATGTGGTTTTAGAAATGTAAATATAAATCATACCCCTTTCTTGTCTATTGAGGAAGGTTGGAAGTCTTTCATCTTCGGGTTATACTGCACCTATAGGAGGATTGAATATTGGCAAGAGAAAACTGTAGGCCAGCCCAAGATGACACCTTTTGTCAGCATGTTTGTTTTTTTGCAGGTGTCATAGGAGTATAGATGCCTTTTTTATACAGCTCTGCTTTGTAAAAGAGTAACCTATTTTTTAGCACTTTTTTTCTTCTTCACAATCTTTTTTTTTTCTTCACAATCTTTTTTTCAACCAAGATTCTTCTCTACTTAGTTGCTAGAGCTGACCTCTCCAATTGCAGCTATCTGGTGTGGCCATCCTCAGCCTGGCTTTTGGAATGCCACATCCATCTTCAGCCTGGCGTTTGAAGTGCCACGTCCAGCCCCCACTGGACTGGATGATGCAGGGAAGAGTCTGTAAGTCACCTTTGTACACTAGGTATAACATAGGGCACTTTCCAGACTTTGTTTTGTAAAAGGTTAACAGTGGAGCACTTTTCAGGTCCAGAGCTGTTGGCATTGCCTTAGTGCTTGTCTTGTCTCTGAAGACTCCCTTTGTAAGTGGGCTGAGCAGTGGGAGCTGCCTTGGGTAGCTGAGTCCCTTTTTAAAATATCTTGTTTTGAACCCATCAGAGCCATTTTTTCCCCCTGCTCTTACCCATATGTGGCATTTTTTGTGATTCTCCTCTGCAAGGCAAGTATCTGAACTGGTGGCCCTATTCTTCTAGGAGCCCTTTGTGGTCTTTCATAAATAAAAGGTGGTGTTGAGGTCTAGGAAAATAGGACATTGCTTTTCTGTCTCTCCGTCTTGCTCCAGTTTACCAAAAGGAAGTTTCCCTTCATTGTCTGGATGTGGTTTGGGCTGTAAGAGTGCTCTCCAAACTACTGCTTCTTTCAGGAAGACTTGATTCTCTTTTTGATATCCTGAATAGACCCTGAAAGGTTGCTTCGGCTTCTTGTTTCAGTGTTTCTAGGTGGCTTGTTCAGACAATTTTCAAAGTGTATGTTTTCAAGAATTAGGTTTTACTGTCTCCTGTCAGATTGCACATTGCTATATCTGTGAGTGGTTCTTGGGCTTTGGCATCAAACAACTGTTTTTCAGATTTGAAACTTTGCCACCTGGTCTTCTGTTTACCAGGTAGATATTGAGGTCTCAGCTGACGCCCAGCTACAGGCGTTAAGGTCCTTTAGGCTGGTCTTTGAGCTGAGGGCTTTTTTTGTCTGCCAACGTCTGATCCTCTTGTAGGCAAAAGTATACCTTGAAGGTGGAAGACATTGTGTCCCTCAATGGATTCCAAGAATGGTCAGTAATCCTATTTTCGTTGACTATTAAAGAAGAGCATATAGATAGAACCATATTAAACAAGACTGTGTAATGCGCATGTTGCAGTAACCCACAGCAGTATAATGATATCATATTCTCACTGCTTTTTCTACGGTTTTATTGGCATGAAGCCACATTGGTCTATCGGTAGAGGCTGTTTTTGGTGTTTTTTTTTTTGTTTTTTTTTCTTAATACCTCTTAAAAAAGTGTTACTATTTTTGTCAGGAAAGTGTAGTAATTATTAGAAATATAAGAGCAGAGTCCAGTAGAGTGTTTAATGCATAAGATATTAAAATAGCTGTTCACTTGTAAAAGTATGTCTTGGGCAAATCATGTCAAGAGGGCCAATTTGCTTAACTTCCAGAAGATTTAATTGCTTTAACGTTATCTCAAAGGGAAGCCTTTGTTGAAAATATGTAAGTTTCTGTAGGACCCATGTGTCATAGATATAGTGTGTTAAATCCATCCATCCATGCATACACTAAATATAAACCCAGTCTTTTGTTAGTGATTGCCATGTGTACTCCTAAGGATTGAAGAAAGTTGCTAGATTTATTTTAGACTCAGATGTAATCTGACAAAAAACAGAAACCTGGAATTGTGTTGGTGTACACCCAGTACACAGGGCTTCTTCATATTAATGACACCGGCAAAGAAGAAAAAAAAAAATAAATCTTTTCCCTTTTTAGGCATAACCTCTCCCAGCTCCCTATTCCTGTGGTGTGCAATAACCCCATTGTATTGGAATTCCTGGCTGTTTACTGACATGTAGGTCAGGTTGGGCAGCTGTTCTTGGCCACCAGTGGGGGGTGATATACTACTGTAGTGGTACCCTAAGACCTTAGGAACACCAGCACAAACTCCATTTTGTTTTCGGGGCAGTTAAGATGTATTTAGAAAGGCCTGGTAGATGAAATTCTCCAAGTCTTACAGCGACAACACCTCTCAGCTATGGCATAATTCTCTTGTACTTTGGGGACTTGCGCAGGGCTCATTTATTACCATCCTCTCAGCTGGGTGGCCTTCTTGTCCCTAGGCCTGCTATCCTCAGATAGGTGTGTGTCTCCGAATGGTCATATTGGCTGGTGTTTCCACGGTTTCAGGGGCATAGTTCTTCACTTCTTGTGTGTCTAAGGAGGAATTTTTGTCTGCAATTGCTGGTCTGTGGGAACAGCTCTATGGTGTTCTCAGGTTTTGAATTCCTGAGGAGCAAACGTGTGCATTTCCATTCCCCTCCTCTACTTTAGCAAGCAGATGCTCTGTAGGAGAAACATCTCTTGGATTAGGAAGGGACCGAGGAAGCCAATGAGGATAGGATATCCTTGGGGTCCTGGATTGCCCCCATCATAGAGGTCCAAGGTAGGCCTCCTGGCAGATGCCATACAAACAGATTTGAAGTTACTGCTTCCCAAGTTGTGTTTTCTAAAAGTTACGAGGTTTGGGTGATAGTGGACATCTAAGAACCTCAAATTGCTTTCTGTACATCCTTGTTTGCAGAATGCAATCTACTATGGGCTCACCCAGACAGCAAGACCCAGGCGGCAAGACCCAGACGGTCTCGGTGATTGAGGTCCTGGTATTTAAATACACTATGGATAGGAGGTTTGAAGCCCTCTTTAAGATGTCCTATGTCCTTTTCTCTGGTAAGAACGGCCCTGCTGCCAGAATTTGCTGTGATGGGTATGTGCTAAGCCCTCAAATTTTTGGCAAAGAGAATCTGAAGCAGGTGACCCTGCCATTGATTGGTATCTGGAGGATTCTCGAGTTTTTGTTGATGCCCTATAGGCTGCTTTCCAGATTGAGCACCACATCAGTCCATATGTGGTAAATCCTGTAGTTCAAGAGCTGGTTGGCAGAAACTTTGTGCAAGAAGCAGTTTGAGAGGCTGCTGTTTGAGGGCAAGAATTTGTTTGGGTCATCCTTGGATGCTTTAATTCAGAAGGTGACTGTGACATGCTATTAAACCTCAAGAATAAGGCAGGTCAGAAGCCGGTGCTACCTTCAGAATATAAGAAGCGTTCTTTTCATAAGCAGCAGGCACCTAGCTGCTGGCAGAAGCCCATCACCTAATTTCACAAGAAGAGATGAACCCCCAAGTACTCCAGTTCTGGTGAGAAGTTCTGATTCCAGTCATACATGTGGAGGATTTTGAACTTAATCTTAGACAAGGGCCCAGGTGAAGGTGCTCCTTCATTCTCAGGTGGAGTCTCTGTGATCACTGGAAAATCCTTTGATTTGTTTGGGTACAGGGGAAGATGTTAGCTGCTTTTGAGTGTTCCTGTGTGCCCAGTTTCACTCCAAGGCATTACAACTCTGCATCCTGGCAGTGTAGGACAATCGTCAACAGCCTTTGGAATTGCCCATGCACTTGACTGCCAAAGCCAGTTTGACTCTCTAGTGGTGGAATTTTCAATGTAGATGTTGGAAAAGCTTTCCTTTTAATGACTTGGAAGGTTTTGACGATGGCCAGCTTTTTGGGCTGTTAATGTATTCTGACGAACCTCTTTGTTCAGGAAAAGTGGCTGTTGGAGGAGGAGCAGAGGTTGTTTCATACATTGGTCCAGCTTACCATACCTGTGAAAACCCCTTTGGAAGTGGATAATCGCTGTAGTTTTCGCTGCTACTACAGTGATGTCCACTGTTCTCCGCATCCCATGGTGAACAACTGACCTGCTGCATAGCAAACACAAAGAGTTTCTTGCTTTTTAAAGGCACCATTCACAGAATACTTATTCATTATTGTCAATGAATGCAAAGCATTGTCTGGTTGGATGAGATGAAGATGGTGATGTTGGTGCTTCTCCTCTCCACCTTGTCCAGTTAGAGAATGTCTTGCGTTCCTTGAGAAAATGGCAAGGTGTTATGTAAAAGTGTGTTCATTATGCAGCAGGGCGCTATGATCCGGTCATATGACCTGCTCCCAGTGGCAGCTTTAGGGGAGAGGCAGGACAGCCAACAACAGATGCCCCATAGCAGATCTATGGGTAATGTCACTGCGCACGCATTGCAGCCATTGTCAGCGATCTCTCCTGTGCCCTAAAGCTGACTACTAGGGAGATCACATGACCAAGCAAGAAGGCCCTCAGAATAGCTAAGTACAAGTATCTTCCTTTTAGAGGGTAGTTAGAATAAGATGTAGAAGGGAAAGGGAGTATGTTTAAGCATAGTTAATAAACTTCCACGTTTTAGCTACAGTGGGGATTTTCTTGTCTATTTAGTTGCATAAGAGAAAACTTCTCTTTAGTTCCAGTTCAGCCTTACAGCTACATTGATACATCTCGCTACTGAGTTTACAAAAGTGGTGATGTTGATTTATTTTTCCATTGGGCAGTCTGGAGACAAAAAAAAAAAGAAAACAGACATGGGGATTGCAAATGTAAACCAGGAAATGAGGACACCATTTGCTTATTGCAGTGCAGTCTGTGTGTAGCTAAATCCATTTCAGGCCTTGGGTAGATAGGTGCATTATCTTGTGTTTGCCTTTGAGTTCCTTCACAGGTACATTTGACCCCCTCCTAAGCTGCTTGAAGCTGCTTTTTTATGATCGACTTGTATGTGGAGAAGAGCAGTTCTGACATAAACAGCAGTCTGTGTACCCAGGCACTATACTTGTGTTTTATCTGTTTGCTTGAAATTCCATTTTAAATTTAAAGCTGAGGGCTATGCATCAGACTGATTATGTATTGATAAATATGCAAATTTATGTTTAATCTGTTTGAAATATGTACATTTAAAATGTTCATCATTTTATCTTTAAAACGTGTTAAAACATTTTGATAAATATATTGTGTTGCCCAGATTGCTCACTTTCAGAAAGAGATGGATGAATTAAAAGTACGGACGGCAAAGTCCTGTTTCACTGTGGGGACAGATGAGGAGATGAGACAATTGAAGACAGAGTGCAATGATCTTGATTCCTTTGTGCGGGAAATCAAGGCAACCACAGAGGTAAGTACACAATAGTACTGTTGTGTTTCATTGCTGGGCATGTCCCATTAACCATGTAGCCAGTAATCTGTCTATGTGCAGCAGACAGTGTGGCATATAGCCCCATAACACAGGAAGGAACGAACACAAGGAAAAGTCTGAAAGCGTTTTGTTACTAATTACATTTGCCAAAGGTACAGTCAAATATAAACTCTTCCCAAGTATATAAAATATATATAAAGCTGGACAACATTTCCAGCTCTACATAGTATTGCTTATCTTGCTTTAATGCTCTCAGCCAGCTTAGTTCTCACTTCACCGAGCAGCATTCCTATGAGAAAAGGTGTCAAAAGGGGCCTTACTAAATGTTAACAGTTTGCACAGTGCTATCCACTCTTTTAGTGATCTTTGAAGAAATTATTCCTAATTGCATTGGGATGTATGGTAGAATGTGCTGAGTGTATGGCATGGTGGGTTGAGCTCTTCATACACTATGCTATATGTAACATATTCCAGACTGCCCCATTCTTTACACTGTGCAGTTCATATACTGTATACTGCACATTTCCCCACTCTGAACACTGTGCTCTAAATTATATAGTTCATATTGTTAGTCCATCGCAGTAATCTCTGAATTCCACCCATTTAATGAATAAGCATACTAGCTAATACACATGCTGTACATGTTTATTTTAAGCTACACACATGCTAAAGGTCTTTACAGATGTCTGTTTTTTGTTTAGTCTCTACATAATGATATTGGATGTCTTCAAACCACCCTGCGCGATGCATTTACAATTGTGCAAGATGCAAAAGAACTGAATGAAAAAAAAAAGAATCCAGTATACCGCTGTCTTCTGCAGCAGAGACCTCTAGACCCTAAAAGTGAGGCACAGATGCAGGTAATTCTGGGACTGGTGCTTCTCTACAGTAAACCAAATGTAACTGGACAGTGATGTCTCTCATCAGTCTGCTCTTCTTATAACCCAATCTTTTGCTTTTCTTATATAGGAGATTCGCAGACTCAATCAGTATGTGGAATATGCTATTCAGGATGTTAATAATGTCCTTGATTATCGATGGGAGCAGTATTTGTACAATAGGAAAAAACAAAGGTGTGTATTTTTGTTTCAATAGATTTTTATTTAAATTTTGAAACGTAAGAAAGTGGTACTGTCGTTATCAAACATATGTCTTATGAGCAAGCGAAGGAGGGGGAGAGAAGAGAAGCTGGGTACACCCTCCAATATAAGAGGTGTGAATTTTTGTAGATACATCTTAACCACTCGTCTACTGAGGCAATTTTTTCATTTTTTTGCAGACGTTAAAGCATGCATTTCTGACACAAAATTACTTTAAACCCCTAATATTATATATTTTCTGAAAGCAGAGGTTCTATAAAATGGTGGCAAAAATGCACAAAACTATTTGGTACACACAAACACAATAGAATATTTATTTTGTAGAATAAAAACATTGGGTTAAGTAAACATACTGAACATGTTAAGTCTTAAAATGGCATGTGCTCGTCGAATGGTTAAAATATGGTACCCAGAATGGACCATAGGTGATATTTTAAAAACCTTTTACAGGTTATAAGTTTAGAGTTAACCTAAAATATAGCCCAAGAATTATTGCTATTGCTCTGAAGTTTGTGGCAATACCTCACGTTTTGGCACAAATGTCATTTACATACACTTGTGTGTGTTTGCATTTCGCGTGTATGTTCTGGGTGATGGGGGTGAACACACAAGTTGTCTCCTAAACCTTAAAGCAGGCCAACAGGTACAACAGGGAGCCAGCGATTTTTGATTCATGCATGGGTAGGCTACTGATCAACTTCTGTATAACCAGCCTGTTGGATTTTCCCCGCTTGATCAGTACCGCCAGCTGTAGCTGGCAGTGCTGATCAGTGTATTCTAATGGTAGGAAGTCTGCTAGCTGTCAGAATACAATACCTCAGCGAGGAGGATTCCTCCATCCACACAAAGTTTGTGATTGGCGGAATCGAGTCATTTGTTTTCGTTCAACTCGCTGGTTGAATGAAAAAAAAAAACTTATTTGTGGGCTGCTTTTATATGTGACTCGATCCTGGTAATGTAGTGTATTTACCTTAAGCTGTCATTAATACCATTGTCAGTCACCTGTTTACGAGTGAAACTTGCCTGTTTTGATAATTTTGTTTTGTTTTTGTTTTTTTTTGTGCTAGAAACTAGGTTGGAATAATTATTTATGTAAGCCATTTATGTGCTTTTTTTTACTTCCACAGGGGCATTGCTGTTCCGCAGCGAGAGACGCTTTTTAACACGTTGGCTAGTCATCAGGAAATCATAAACCAGCAGAGGCAACGTTTAAACCAGCTGGTAACCAAATTGCAGGACCTCGCCCTGTACAACCAGACCTCTCAGTGGAGTGTACAGATAGAGGCATCCACTGGTCAGAGGTATGATAATTGCCAGATATGTTTACACACACCAGTGTTCTGAACAACAGGTAGCCTGACTTATAGATTAAAGGAGATTTGGATCCTTTGGAAATATGCTTCAGAAATGTGGTCAAATCTTTATTTTAGTTACAGTAAAGAAGACTTCTCTTAGGATTATAGATGCATTTAACTTATATTTTGCATGATATTTACTTGTAAAACTCTCCCTTGTCTACAAACAGCATTCAAATGCCCTGAGACTGCTTCTGGGTATTTTTGGATGTGATATCTGCAGCCCCAACAGACTTAGAGCTGTCACTCACTTAGAGGTGACACTCTAGTATTCCCCTGTATTCCTCCCCTGACCACTAAATAAAAGGTTATGAGTTTAGCCAGCACAAACAGCCACTCAGGACAGGTGGGCTATGCTAGGGAAATGCCTGAAGCAGTCAAATCTTTTATCAATTTCAGAGTTTCACCGATCAGCCATAACGTTATAATTACTGACTGGTTAAAAGAATAACATTCCTTATCTGATTATCATGGCATTTGAAACCATGGTGGGATAGATTTGGCAGCAAGTAAACATGTTGAACCTGAAGTTGGTGTGTTGAAAGCAAAAAAAAAAAGGCATTACAGTTTGCTGTGTGTAGGACTGCATTGCCGCAGACTGGTTAGGATGCCCTTGCTGACCCATGTCTACAGCCAGAAACACCTACAATGAGCATGTGAACATCAGACCTGGACCCACAGAGCAATGAATGAAAATGACCTGGTCTGATGGTTCATGTTTTCTTTTACATCATGTGAATGGCTGGGGGGTGTGTGCATCACTTCCCTGGGAAAGAGATGGCACCAGGATTTAGTATAGGGAGAAGGCAAGCCAGTGGAGGCAGTGTGATGCTTTGGGCAATGTTCTGCTGGGAAACCTTGGATTCTGCCATTCTTGTGGATGTTACCTGACACAAACCCCCTAGCCTAAACATTGCTGATCAAGTACACCCCTTCATGGAAATGATATTCCCTGATGGCAGTGGCCTCTTTCTGCAGGGTAATGTGCCCTGCCACACTGCAAAAATGGTTACGGAATGTTTTGAGGAATACAATAAGTTTGAGGTGTTGACTTGGCCTCTGAATTCTCCTGATTCTAATTCAATTGAACATCTGTGGGATGTGCTGGAAAAACAAGTCTGATCCATGAAGACCCCACCTTGCAACTTATAGGACCTAAAGGATCTGCTACTGATGGCTTGGTACTAGATACCACAGCATACCTTCAGTGGTGTCCATGCCTCGACAAGTCAGGGCTGTTTGGGCCTACTTAAAATTAGGTGGGTGGTCTTAAAGTTATAGCTGATCAGTGTATATTGCAAGTCAATAAAAAATATTTATGAAAAGGAGGAACTCCATAAGTAAGCACTTAAAATAATTAATTTTTCTGTGCCTTTTTATCTACGTTTTTTTTTTTGTTGGTAACTGTTCCTTTAAGAAGTGGTAACCTCTTTCCAGTAGCTGCTGACCAGACTTGCCCAGTGGTTAGGAGGAATTTTAAACTGGTTCTCTTTTCAGTTTAGTGAGATTTCTTGGATACTTTGCAGAAACAGCTTTCTTTAGGCTACAGCATCTTTTGTGTTGAGGTCATAACTTTGTCTTGATCTTTTCCAGAATACAAAATTTGTTTTGTTTTTAAAGCAGGAGTGGAAATTTTTTAAAACACCACTTGTCCAAGGGAGTAACTTGGGTTCCCAAGCTACATGTCCCTCGTGACAATCTACTTGCCCTGATTAAAAAAAAATCAAAACTGTATTGAAATCTGAGATGCTTTTATAAACAATAGGGGCTTTATGCCGACCTTAAAGTGTTACTAAACCCACAACAGTAAAATCAGTCTGTATATGCAGGAAAGCATGCTTGGTATACTCACTGTGGAATGAGTTAAGCCTCTGCATTGTGTAAAAACACTGTTTGATCCTGACTCATGTGATCCTCTCCTTCTTCCAGTATCCCCCTCTTATCTCCTGATAAGACATATTGCGTGGAGTCACTCTGCACATCCTCAGTTTGTTGTGTATTGCTAGAGAGGTTTTTTTTTTTTTTCCTCTTGGGAGAGTGTATGTGACCAACAGAAGGCCAATCAGCACTGTCCAGACAGAGGTCAGGGGTTCTGCATCCTCCTAGAGCAAATAAAAACTCCTCCTACAAGCTTTACCATGTGCTCTGCTGGACACTGATAGACGTTATAAGACTGCTCTAACTGCTGATGAGGAAAGGTATTTAGCAGTTTATAATTATTAAAATGATTGCACGTCCATGTTCTGTGTACTGTGGGAGACCAGATATAGTGAATGGAGTGTCCTGCGTTTCCGCAGTTCAGTTCTGCTTTACCACGATTCGTGATATTTTATTGTTTTGGTTTTGAGACACCACTGAAATTTTTGTGGATGATTTGCATTAAATACCATTTATATATCTATTTTCAGACAATTTGAAGAAGAGCTAAAAAACCTGCAAATTGCAATGTCAAAAACTGCTTTGGACATACAGCCCCAATCTTCACCTAAAGTACAGCGTAAGTACCAAACTTCGCTACATTTTATATTTTCACAATGAGACAAGGCATCAATAATAAGTGCATGTCCTCCCAACAGGAAGCCTGACACTCAGAAAAAATTCACTCTTCCAATTTGGTCTATTCCCCCCTGCAATACATTGGCTGAATAGTATTAATTTGAGGTGTATGGGGAAAAAGACACTATGAACGTGTGCTAGTTTGCAAGCTTGTATTTGTGTAAAGGCAATATAGGCTGTGGCCTAAATTGTCAAACTTTTCTCACGGTGTTAGAATTCCTGTTATTTTATTTGTACAGTACAGGACACAGGCTGAATATTCATAGACCCTGGGTTAAAGGCTGGTATGTTCAGGTGATTGGACACTGGCAGCATAACCCCACCCCACTCCTTGAGTCCTCAGTCCTTGAGTCCCCACTCCTAGTGTCCTAAGGTGATGGACCTCTTTGGGAAAAAGCACACTTAGCAAAATAGTTTATTATTTTACTTTGAATCTTCAGCCCATCCCTTTGGCACAACGCTTTGCCCACAAAGACCACCGAGCCCTCCCCAAAGCTCGCTTCAGAGTGAAGGGGCGGCCTCGCTCTTAAGAGTCGGGGGACTGTAGCGGTTTGCATCTCTCTTGGACCACAGACATCCCAGACCTGTGGGTTTAATAAGTGGTTTCCGAAGGTTACAAGATAAAGGTAAAAACTCTGCCATCTCACCGCTGCCGTCTTTCAAATCAACCAAAAATAAAATTGTACAAGGACAGACTTATTTGCACAAGGTCATGAACCACCTCTTGTCCCAGGGGGTCATTGTAAAAGTACCGCCCCAAGGCATATTCAAAGGATTCTACTCAAATTTGTTCACGGTACCAAAGCCTGACAGAGGCATCCGTCCTATCCTGGACTTAAAATTCTTAACAAATTCTTCACATTCCAAAATCACATATGGAATGAGCAAGTTAGTAATTGCCTCTCCGAGACATGGGGAACGCATGGCATCAGTGGACGCTTCATTCATGTCCTGCGACATGTGACATGCGATCCTGTCTAGTGTGCTACAATACCTAACCCTCACACGCCACCATTCTTCTCTTTTAATGATAAAGCATAGTTTATGAAACACTGTTCTTTAGCAAACTAGTATTCAAGTATTCAATATGAGTAATAAGACTGGTACTCACAGGCCACTGGCTGCGAGCGCTGATCGGTGTGCTCTGGCAGGGGGTGGGGGGAGGGGTCAGAACGCAATAGCTCAGCAGGGAGATCATTCTACTAACATCGCATAGTTAGTACAGCAAGCTCTTTTTTTTTTTTTTTTTTTTTTTTTTTCTCGTTCAGCCCGCTGGGTTGAACAAAAAAAACTGCCTATCTGTACCAGGCTTTACAAAATCTTAATGTCATATACTTTAAGGGAAACTTTCTAAACTAATCATGTAGGCTGCCATTGCTAATCTATCTTGTTTGAAAATGTTAGTTGTTTGACTTCAGTACTTTATATTTATTGCATGTATTTCGTGTTTTCTTGCAGCCAAGATATCAAAATTAAAGCTGAACCAGCTGAGAAATTTTCTGGCCAACAGGAAACCGCCAGTGGTTAGATCACTTGCCCCAGGTAACAACTAGCTTTAGTTTTTTTGGTACAGGAAGGCTTCTAACTGAATAAAGAAAAACCACCAGAGAAAACTTTGTACTGTTGCAGCTCAGAAGATCTCTATAGATCTGTATAGATGTCAGTAGCGTCTGTGTTGAAAAACATCCCAGGCCAAATTAATTTTTCCTTCTGGGATTACCCATTCATAGTGTCTTGATATTGTGCAAACTTCTCAAACTCTTGATGTGGGTAGACAATTATCACAGGCTTGCAGGTCAAATAGGGTTATGATGGCTATGGGCCTTTCCCCCCAAGTTGGCTTCTTTCAAACAGGTCTACAGTGTGCAATGGAAAGATTGTTCCCTCTTCCAGTGGGAATTAAAGATTAACCAAAAGAGGTATACTGGAAAATCTTTAACCGGCCTTACTGAACTACCTGTAGAAAGCTAATGCCTGACACATGAGCAGCTTTTCATATGAAAGACTACTATAAACATGAGCAATTGTTTTGTTTTTTTATTTTTTTTTTTTTTTTTTACAAAAATGATTTAGTTTTTTTCAAATGCTTTATAAATCATTCGTTTTGTGTTCTGTTTTTAGCCAACCTTTCTCGGTCATTATTCCTGGCCCCGAGTTACCTTGAAAACTTGGATGATGTAAGCTCAACATCTGTATCTGAGGCAGCACTTAATGAAGAGATTCAGGCACCTACACAACACGAGGCATTTAAACAAGAGACTCCACCACCTGAGCCGTCTTCTCTCCGAACTGTGCGCCACGCTCCAGTGACACGTACTGCATCTGTGCAACCAGGCTTTGGAACACCATCACTTCCATTTGGAAAAGCTCAGTCTCAAGTTGGTCCAATTACAAGCACTCGTGAGTCAAAAATAGTCATTCAATTTCTTAAATCCTCTATGAGCAAAAAACTTTGTTATATTTATTTGGTGGCCATAGCATCCTCATGCTGTAGGGCACCCACTCTAAGCCAGATCTGCACACCAGATGTCCATCTGTCCTATCTTTATGCACAGGCACACTGTGTGATTTTTGTGAAGCACTAGTCTTCCACTTCTAATGTACTGTATATAAGGGGATGTTTCCGAAGTCGCTAGCATGTTGGTGCATTGTACTGTGTTTAGAAATTCTACTACAATAACATATCATATACGTTGACCAATAGTTTTTTTGTCTAAGTCATATCAGCAGTGTTTAGTTGGTCATCTTCAGCCTTTTGTATAGTAAGGCAAAAGAAAAAAAATATAACAAACTGTGATATAATTATATATAATGACATATAAAATAACCACAAATAATAGCGCTACCCTTATATAAAATAAATAAATCATTAAATCACCACCAAATAAGTGCATAAAGTGTGACTATGCATATATCAAAATAAGGCTCCTCATAGAGTCCATTCAATAAAGTCCATGCACAAAATATTGCTTATGAGCCTCAGAAAATGAAGTCTTCCTTCACCAGTGAAAATTCAGTGTTTTAACACCCCATCAGATTGAACACTCACCAAAAGCTGGTGATAAGCCAGCATATCTGTGTTAACCAGCACTCCACAGCTCAGCTCCACCTTATGGATATCCAAACAGCAAAAAGCTGGTGATATACCAGCGTATCTTTATTTGCCCAGCTCTCCTCAGCTCCAGCTTAGAAATATCCAGACAGCTCCATATAGTACATGCAGATATAAAAGATACTCGCCATAGTGCAATAACTTATATCAAAATTTATTCAGGTAATCCCCCCATAAAAATACACTCACATTGAGTACAACAATATCCAGCATTTGATTTATAAGTACACACGAGCATCCAGCTCTTTCAGCAGCGTTTCACCAGCCTGCCTGCAATCAAGATGGCGTTGTTGCGGTCACGTGATCCGGACACGTGTGTTGGCGTGCGTGGTGACGTCACTGACAGACCACACTCTAATGCGTTTCGTCATACGACTTCGTCCGAGGGAGTGGCAAACAGTACGTGGAGCGTGCTTATAAAGCACCGCCTCCTATCTCATTGGTCACTTGAAATAAAAAGAAAAAAATAGTTGCCCCTAACAACTGGTGAATTTCCAGCTGTTGCTTTTTTTAGAGTAAGTTTCAAAATGAAAGGAAGACAACATTGGCACCTCCTTTATGAGACAGGAGACTCATTATTTGTCAATATATAGAGAAAAGTTCCTGTGAAAACTTACCCTAACACATATCAATGTATAAATGTTAATACAACGTCCATTTCTTCATTTATACACAAACGCGTCAGTTCGATACCTAAATGTTATTAACTTGATGTGCTTAAATGTGTCATTTTCCAGCTGCAGTCCCTGCACAATCAATCAGAGTGATCCCACAGGGTGCGGACAGCACAATGCTGGCAACCAAGACTGTGAAACATGGAGCTCCCACTGTCACTGCTCCACAGGCAGCTGCTGCAGCAGCTATGAGAAGACAAATGTCCAGCCAGGTGCCAGGTAATATGTTTCTGCATGGTAATATTGACTTTTTTCTTTCACACAATTGTATTTTTTATTTTTTCAGTTTAATTGATGCGTTTCTACAATTTTAGCCTCGCTGACTGAATCTACCCTGCAAACTGTACTCCAGGTGGTCAATGTTAAAGAATTAAAAGGCAATGGGCCTGGTCCAAACATTTCCACAGTGATTGGGTAAGACTTTATAAATGGTTTGCTTTCTAGCAGCATGATACCAGTTTGTAAATTAACAATTGACAAAGCGGAATGAAGATCCCGGTGTACGGGACCCAGTGACCATGTGCCCCCCGCAAATACCCCCCCTCAATCCAGGGAGAAAAGTGAGAACACTGCACCGAGTAAAAGCACCACTACATTTTACGCACGCACGCACACGTTAGAGTAGCACATTCTACCCTTTGATCGGCCCTACAGCTCTGAACCTCTCTTCTGAATAGGCACCTAATCAAGATGCAGTCACAGTGCCACGAAAGTGGCCTACATCAGTAGAAGGGTATAAAAGAGAGAGCGCACAAACCTTGTGCATTACCTCAGTAAACCATGACTAATTTTATTTTATTTAGGAAATATACTCACAAGAGTAGCAGTAAAACAGGCATAAAATAACCATAATCCACACAGGGTTACAGGTCAATCCAAAGGGGAGATAAAAGCTAACGCGTTTCGAAGGGTGATCCCTTCTTCATCAGAGCTGGGTTTGACAGATAAAGACTTCAATTTGGCAGAGTTCCCATAGCAAGGAGACATTCAGCCACTGAGTGTCAGTATTCAGCTGTACAGATTCATGAGAGCTGCACAACATTTGATCAACAGTGGATGAACACACTGTTATTAACCTTCATTTGATCTGAGTCCTTGAGCGCAGGAGATAGTGGATGTTTAGTGGCTTACATCAACCAAGGGAGCACAGGGAGATTGAAGGACGTGAACAACATCATCTCTTGAACAGAAACTCCCTGTACTGTGTTTTCTGTGCTCCACATTCCAGGAGTGGACACTTGAAAAGTGGATGATCTCAGCTGCCATCACCTGGATCCAGGTAAATGGGCTCTTCGTCTGGATGTCTTCAGTATGATATGCCTGAAATAGAACACATCCTAGTCTCCAGATTCAACAACTAATTACCTGTTTGTTGCCAGAACCAGTGATCATCAAGCTCTAGCCTCCGATGCCTTTATAATCCCTTGGTCTCCATTAAGGCTAGTTTATGCCTTCCATCCAGTGCATATCCTGCCTCGTCTACTCAAAATACAGCAAGAGGAAAAACCGTGATCCGAATTGCACCAAACTGGTTCAGAGGAACCTGGTACACAGAAATACTCAAACTTCTAGCAGATGACCCGTGGGTTCTTTCAAACTGGCCAGATCTGCTATCTCCAAGCCCTCTATTTCATCCTGCTTCTCAGTCTCTGACTTTTTAATGGCATAGCTGTTTAAACCCAGGTATTAAAAGATAGAGTGGTTTCTGAGTCTGTGATTCCTACCTTGGTAAAAGCAAGAAAAGCCTCGTCCAGGAAATAAAATCTTTTTTTTTTCCTGTTGTGAAAATAGGCATGTCAGTCCCAGAGATTACTTTGTATCTTGCATTCTGCCCTTCCTGCAATCAGGTCTGGACTAGAAATTGGCCTTAAGTACTTTTGAAGGTCAGGTCTTGGGTTTATCCATTGTTTTTCAAAGGTCTTTAGCTTCACTCTCCTATATAAAAGGCTCTCTAGCCCAGTTCTGTATGGTCACCACCTAGTCTTCTGCTCATACTTTTCAAAAGTTTTATTAGCTGGACGTCCAATCTTCTGCTGATGCAGCTTTTGGCCTCAAGTTTCTTGCAATGGCTGTCTAAGGTTGGGTCTTCTGACCCTTGTTGTTGTGCCTGTTGGTACAGTTATGTTTGCCTTATTGCTACCCACCCTTCCTTTTCATTGCTTGGGGATGTCCCATGGCATGAATACTCTGCCTGTTTCCTGTAGTGTACGATTAGATTGGAGGAATTTTGACTTACTGGTACATTTAATATCTTGCAGTACAGTACAAGAGAAAGGTCACTTTCCCATCCATTCTTTGGTTTACTCTCTATTGCTTGCTACAAAATTGAGGACTCAGATGAGACCTCTGAAGCTTTGCCAGTGTCTGATCACCTGAAGGTACGTGCCTATGACACATGGTGTATGAATATATGAATATTCTACCTGTGTCCTGTACTATACTCCAAGATATGGAATTTACAGATAAGTCAAAATTCCTTTTTATTTATTTTTTTTATTTTTTATTCACAATTAAATAGTTTTATATTTCATTGAGGGAGAAGAGTCCCACCTCTGTGTTTATGACCAAGCTCTCAATACTGCTTGCTACAAATCTAAGACATGCTGGTAGTAGGAGGGGTAATCCTGGGGTGGCCTATGGTATTTTTGTTTGCCATTGTGCAATCCTCCTTTCAGTAACAGTATAACTCAAAAGTGAAAGACTTCCTGTTTTCCACAATGGACTTAAAAAAAGAAGTTTTACAGTGAGTAAAAATCCTGCTTCTATGCCATCCAACGTCTCTGGTCATTTTCAGGGTGATAGTTTTTACATTTGTGTGAACTGTGACAAAGTGTATGGGGCTCAGAATATATTGAGAAATCAATTATGTTCATTATAACTATGCCTTACTTCTTTTCCTTAGGCCTTCCGTTCCACAGTCTGCTGCTCAGGCGATCAACCAGGTGCTAGTGACAGTAGGATCAGCTCCTGCTAAACAGGTATACAGTTCATTCAGTATTTTCTTGAGTTAAGGGCAGATTAATAAAAATAGAGTAATGCAGGTCCAGGATGGGTTTTAAAAGGAACCTGTCAATGTAGCAATACAGGAAAGTAAGTACACTGTAGCTAAATAAGTAGTCAAATATACAGTACTATGGAAACATTTTAGGCAGGTGTGAAAAAATGTTGTAAATTAAGAGTGCTTTCAGAAATAGAAGTGTTAATAGTTAACACTTCTAGTTAAAAGTGTTAACTCCCTACTGCCACAGCCCCAATTCCAATATTTTTGTGAATAGTTGAGTTGCGTAGCCTTATTTGCATGTCCTTCACGAAAACATAGGAAATGGGGTGCAGGAAAATGGCAGCAAGTGCTCTTGAATGATGAGTCAAAATTTTAATTATATCGGCTGTAGCAAGAGGCAGTTTGTGTGCGAAGGTTGGAGCGCAGTGCAATAATGAGTGTCTGCAGGCAATAGTGAAGCATGCTGAAGGCCCCTTTCAGGTTTGGCCTGCATTTTTGCAAATGGAGTTGGAGATTTTGTCAGGATCAATGGTGTCCTCAATGCTGAGAAATACAGGCAGATACTTATCCATGATGCCATACCATCAAGGAAATGTGTAATTGGCCCCACATTTTGTTCTAAAGCAGGAAAACGACCCCAAACATACAGCCAATGTCATTAAGAACTATCTTTAATGTAAAGAAAAATAAGGAGTCCTGGAAGTGATAGTTTGGCCCCTACAGAGCCCTGATCTCAACATCATTGAGTCGGGCTGTCTGGCTCTCTATGAAATGACAGAAGGATTTGAGGCAGCCTACATCCACAGAAGCTCTGCGGTTAGTTCTCCAGTATGTTTGGAACAACCTACCTGAGGAGTTCCTTCAAAAACTGTGTGCAAGTGTATCTAGAAGAATTAATGCTGTTTTGAAGGGAAAGGGTGGTCACACCAAATATTGGTTTGATTTGAATTTCTCTTCTGTTCATTTACTTTCCATTTCATTAATTGATAAAAATAAACTATTAACATGTCTATTTCTGAAAGCATTCTTTATTTACAGCATATTTTCACACTTGCCTTTGTACAGTACTGTACATATTTCATTACTAAGCCCATATAACTTAAAATGGATTTGAAAAAAAAAATGATTTGCTGTGTTACAGGGAACAGCTAGAAATGTAACTGTGCACAAAGTCCTAAAATATTTACATTCTGTTTTGAATTCTTTCTGAAAAATAGGGCACTTCCTGTGCCTGGAGCCTTATAGCTGTATATCCGTAATGTGCGCTAATCTAAAGTACTTTGCCTCCGAATGCTAGTCCCTTACGATTTAGAGTGTGGTATTGTGCAGTTCACTTGTCTTATTGCTAGAGAGTAATCTATACCTGAGGACCTGCAGTACAAGTATCTCCATGCTTCTGCTTCGTTCATTCTGTGGATGTGTGCTTTCTTCAACTCCCATGCTACTGCTTGATTATTCCTGCATCAGTCACTTGGAGGGCAGTTGTGACTAGTGATGAGCTTGGGTGCAAACTCTAACCTGAACTCTGAGCTCCTGCTTTTTTTGTGTTCCAATGAGCTGTGGGCCCCCACTTGCAACCGAAGTTGTCAGAACAAACCATCTCTCTCTCACCCATCCTCATTTATTTATTTATTTATTTATTTTGCTAGTGTCCTTAGGTGGTGGATGACCTTTGTCTGAAAGCTGGTCAGCTGTGTCTAATTCTAATTTTACTGGAAGTTTGAAGACTACACATTGTTTGTCACATGGAGAAATCACTTTCCCTCCTGGCTGCGTGGATGCAACTGTAGAAATGTTATTAGCTAGTGGATCATGCGCCCCTCAGCAGCACCTAGGGAAACTGTAACTGGGCCTCGCCACATGGAATACATAGGGCTGCCCTGTAAATTTGCCTTTGGCACTGAATTCTGCGTTTTTATACTCACCTGCTGTACAGCAGTGTAATGCAGTGCAGTTAGCTCTATGGGTCCAGGGCAGTGGCAATCTGAATCCTTCTAGTTTCAGTCCGTGAAGAACCTTTCCATGGTGTAGTGGGAATGCAGTTCCAAAGCAGGCAAATCAGAGTTCTCACCTGGTGAGTTCTCCCCTGTGAAGGAGCCTGTAACGTGGTGTGTTATTGCCTTTACCCTTCCCCTGTGGGGTCCACCCCAACCCCTATACCTGCTTGGACATGGGTAGTCCCTGAACACTGAGCTCCTTCCTTGGCACAGAGGGGTGAGCTGCAGGGCTGTGTTAAAGCGTGCACCACGTCAAACGGTTTGTTATGGCTCCTGTGAAACATTGTGGTGCGCAATGACCCACTCTGTCTGTATGGTGCTGCCCTTTGTAGACGGAACACAGCCTTCCCCTGGCTCCAGACACCATCTTGAGCACACTGATCTACTACAGACAAGCGCAGTGTAATTCCTGCTACCTTTCTACTCCAGGTCTCCTCGTCAGCCTTCATTGTGTTACCTAACAGCCTACAGTCGTGAGACACAGGATGACTACACTCCTTGTGCCCTGTAGCAATACTCTCTGCACTTATCAAAGTTGTTAACTACCCCTTAAGGAATCCTAAAATATCATGGCAGATGGCAGACAGAAGGGCTATGGGATAAGGAATGTGCTCGTCGAGGGAGTCGACACTTTCTATCAACATTCTCAAATTTAGAGCCATTTGCTTATCCCAGTTTGTGGTCTACCAGCTAGCTTTAGGAGCAACTGAAAAGGGTTCAGTCGGGCAACAGCACAGTCGCAGTTTACAAAATGCCACCAGCTGCCTGTTGTGAAACAGAACTAGTCCTGATTTGGGCCAAAAGGCATGCTTCAGCCCTGTCTAGAGTAGATACTTGGCATGCACTGTGATCATATTGGTCCAGAAGAACTTGGTCTTTGGACATTGTCTGACTCCTGGGAGACGCTCCATGCGCACTTCCAGGCCAGCCAGACTTCCTGTCTCAAGGTCTGGTCTACCATCCTACTTCAATGTCTCTGGTTTTGAAGGTTTGACTGTTAACACCCAAGTCCTGAAAGCCCAAGGTCTCCCTGACCATGTAATTACTATACTATTAACATTTGGTGAATCAGCTTCTTGCAAGGTATGTCATTGCACTTGGAATGTTTACTTTGTACAACATGCACCTACACAACATGGCCTGTTCTTCCTGCAGTCTGACCTGGAGCACAAATTGACCTTTGAGAACCCTAAAGGGTCAATTCTGAACACTGGCAATCCTCCTTTTTCAGAGACTGCTGGTCACTTATTCTCTGGTAAGGGCTTTTGTTCGGGGGGGGGGGGGGGTGTCTCACATAGTTTCCCCTTGGCATCTCAGTACCTCGGCCAGCTACCCCCCTTACCCACTGCTATTCTTGCCTTGGGGAAAATGATGTGTCCTGCACCTTGCAGCCTCCTAGGTTGGCCCCTTTCCATATCCCAGGAGGCTATTGGAGCCCATTCACAGAGCGCGGGTGGGTAGACTTGGCATCATTTGGGGGGGGGAGGGGGTGGCTACCTGAACCTGGAAGAAAAAGCTGGGCTTCTAGTGACTGAGTGCATCAAAATGACAGTGCAGGATCAGGAGATCACAGCAGGACACTGCTGGATCCAATGGGCAGGTAAGTATGTTTTCGGATTTGAGCCCAGCACCACAGGTAAGGGATTATTAGTGGGGGGGTTCTTTTTTTAAGGAGTGCATTTCTCTTCCTTCCTCCCACTTACTTTGTGTCACTGACTAGTCTGTATGGACCTCCATACTTTGTAAGGAGTCTGTTGTAGGGGAAGGATAATGGTTTGTGTAGGTGGCCATTTGATAAAAGAAGTTGTACAAGATCAGATTGTAATAGTGGTGGAGTTTAAACATGGCAATGTATTGCATGTCTAATCAGGAGGTAGCTGAAAAAAAAATCTAGTTAAGTAGATTGTGGAAGGAGTTACTTTCATGTTTAAACAGATAATTTAACAGATAATTTGCTTTTTCTTTTTATAGTAAACATTTAATATTAAACATATTGCAAGTGTAAAATGATGTGTATTAGATTCTTCAAAAGGGTCAGTGTAAATATACCAAACAGTGTTATAGCTATAATGGTGCTCTAGTATTACACCATGTTCCAAATTATTATGCAAATTATATTTTTCTCATTTACCTAAATAATTGATGTAAATAACAGTCAGCATAATTCTCATGTTATCAACTATTAAGAGTACAATTCAAATGTTATTGAACAAACCTCCTAATGATAACAGTATTTTTTTTAAACATAAAAAACTTACAATGCACTGTTCCAAATTTATTACGCACAGTAAGTTTCAAAACACTTTACAGGTTGTAAAGAACTGAAAATTGTCATTTGTTGTGTTTGCAGCATATTTACTGAAATCAAAAGCTATTTCAATCAAACTTTTAACAACATTTAACTTTTTAAACATTTTAACAGGTCACGTTACATTTTAACATAGGACCCCTTATTCGATAGCAGCTTCACAAGTCTTGCATCCATTGAACTTGTGAGTTTTTGGACAGTTTCTGCTTGAATTTGTTTGCAAGATGTCAGAATAGCCTCCCAGAGCTGCTGTTTGGAGCATCCTCAAGCACAAGATCTATGAGGGTGGGAGGCAGTTTACATCCAAAGGTTCTCAATAGGATTGAGGTCAGGGGAGGATGGAGGCCACACCATGACTTTCTCTCCTTTTATCCCCATAGCAGCCATTGATGCAGAGGTATTCTTTGCAGCATGTGATGGTGCATTGTCATGCATGAAGATGATTTTATTACGGAAAGCGTAGTTCTTCCTTCTGTACCAGGGAAGAAAGTGGTCAGTCATAAACTCCACATACTTTGCAGAGGTCATCTTTACACCTTCGGGACCCTAAAGTGGCCGACCAGCTCTGTTCCCATGATTCCGGCCCAAAACATTACTCCATCACCGCCTTGCTGACGTCGCAGCCTTGTTGGAACAGGGTGGCCGTCCACCAACCATCCACTACTCCATCCATCCTGGACCATCCAGGGTTGCACGGCACTCATCCGTGAACAGGACTGTTTGAAAATTAGTCTTCATGTATTTTTCTGTCCAGTGCAGCCGTTTCTGCTTGTAAGCATTGGTTAGTGGTGGCCAAATAGAAGGTTTATGCACAGTTGCAAGTCTCTGGAGGACTCTACACCTTGATGTCCGTGGGACTCCAGAGGCACCAGCAGCTTCAAATATCTGTTTGCTGCTATGTAATGGTATTTTAGCAGCTGCTCTCTTGATTCGATGCATGGATCTGGCAGAAATCTTCCTCAATGTGCCTTTATCTGCACGAACCCGTCTGTGCTCTGAATCAGCCACAAATCTCTTAATAGTGCGATGATCACGCTTGCGTTTTCGTGAAATATCTAATGTTTTCATACCTCGTCCAAGGCATTGAACTGTTTCACTCTTTTCGGCAGCAGAGAGATCCTTTTTCTTCCCCATATTGCTTGAAATGGTGCTCTGCTTAATAATGTGGAACACCCTCCTTTAGTAGTTTTTCCTTAAATTGGGCTCACCTACCAATCTAATTATCACAGGTGTCCGAGATTGTTTTCAGTGATCAAAAGAGCCCTGACACACAATGCCATCCATGAGTTAAACTGAAAAACAAAATATTTAATCTTTGTGACACTTAAATAGAATTTGCATAATAATTTGGAACAGGGTGTAGTTGTAGCTTTGCCCATAAACTAGTTTTTCATGCTCTTTTCTTTACCTTTGTTTTGTTCTGTTTTTTTTTTTTTTTTACAGGCTCAGGTGCAGCCACCCAGTGGATTAAAGACACCATGTGCTTCAGCTCCTACAAGCAATGTCATTGCACAACCAGGATCTGGGTTGGCAACCAACAAAATGGGTAAGCTAATGGCATTCCTTTCTCCTCCAGAGCAGTTTTCTTTCTTTTTCTTTTTACGTTAACATGTTAAAATGCATATTTTAGGCATGAAGAATAATTAAAGCTTCCACACATACATTTTCTGAAAGCAGAGCCCCTGGAGAATATAATGGTAGTAGTTCCATTTTTCTATGTCACTTTATTGGAGCAATGGTTTTATCATAGTTTTTCAGAAAAAAAAAAGCACTCAAGTTAAGTTTAGTGCACACAAATGCAATATTGGTAAAATACGAGGTTGTGCTGAATAATTGCCCAACATATCTAACCTTGAAACTGCACATGCCTGTGAAACAGTGACAAACCAAATGCTTAGGTGTTTTTTGTTTTGTTTTTTTTTTTTTACATTTTCCGACATCCGTTTGCTATCACATAGGAGACCAATAACCCTTTATCCTTTATGTGATAGCATTTTGCTGTGACAGGCTCTTTCATATCACACCTGATGTTTCCCCTCCTCCTTTCTCTGAAGCTAATGGAGCACAGATTGTGCTTCAATAGTTTCTTCTGCAGCCACAGTAGCCAGGGAAAGTGACGCCTGAAGCTGGAAGTGATGTAGTAAACGTTTCTTCTGGGTTCTTTCTAATTATTCTTTCCATTATTAATGTATATTCTCTTATCTTCCTTCCTTCTACCGAGCAACTAAAATTAATTTGACCTTCAGTTCACTTTAGCTCACTTTGAATGTTTTTATGTTTTGTTTTTTTTTGCTTTTGTTTTTTTTAGGACAAACCAGTTCAAAATTTGAAGCCCAGACTACATTGTCTTCAGCTGCCTTGACTTCTGGTATACCAGGCAACAAAGCATTTTCTTTTCCAGGACAAAGGTAAGGACGCTAGACAGAGCTGTCTACTGGAATTGTAACATATCTGCAATATGCAGTTCCACACCCCAGAATTTTCTTGCTTATGTCACCAATTTCTTGTCATTACAAGCTTATTCATAAAACACAGAACAATTTCAAGCCTTTATTATTTGTATATTTTTTTTTTTTGTTTGATAATTTTGGTGTTTTGGGTTTGTTTTGGTTTTTATTTGTTTTTATATATTTTATTTTTTTACACACTCTTAATCAGGTGATAATTATATTTCAAAGGCAGCTTCATTAGAGTGTCATTAAACCCACATCACTAACAACTGTCAGTACAATGCTGTATTACATGCTGTTCATACTAACTCACTCACTATGGGATGCGTTTTCTGTATTCTGCAAAAAAACTGATTGATCCTGCTTTTCATTGTCCCTCCCTCTTTGTGTCCTCGCTATAGCCTGAGATTGTGTAGACCTGTTGCCACCTTTACTTGTGTTTCCATACTTACCTCCAGGATACCCCCATCCAGTGGAGCTCCCTGCCCCATTCTTTCTGACTATCCCCTACTCTGTCCACTTTTAGGCGATTCCTGAATAGCCTATCCTGCCCACACCTAACAACTGTACTTTTATTTTCTCCATCAGTTCATCCCTCATAGTTCTTACCTTTTGTATCCCTTCATCCTCCCTCTTAGATTGTATGTTCTAATGGGCAGGGCCCTCTTTATTAATAATCTACTGAGCATGCTCCAGTTTCAGTTCCCTTCTTAACTGCTTATTTCCTACTTTTTCTTATCTTATCACTTGACTGTTGACACCCATGTGGGCCTATAAACTCCTGATAAATGACAACCCACTGCCTCCCTGTTCCTCCATGCCCACTAAATGGCTCTACACTATGGGGGTGGGATTTAGGATGGTGATTGATGAAAGCATCACTGCAATTCTAAGCACATACAAACAATAAACACAGGCTGGGGGGCCCACACCATGGAAGAAGACTAGAAGCTGATGTTTACCTTCACATGGGAAGGGAAAAGGCTGGGCCACATGACAGCTGTATATAGATTATGAAAAAAGGAACTTAGACTTTTTTTTTTTTTTAAATTAAAATCAATTCAGTGTAATACATACTGTATACATAAAGAGAAGGGATAATGTAAATTAAAAAGTGTGTGTTTAGTATCACATTAAATACTACTACAAAATGGAGATCACACAATCAAGCACAGACACCACCTATTAGTATCCTATAGCAACCAAACTATTATCAAAATTAACAGTTTACTAGTAGAAGAAATTTCACCCCTCTACAAGACAGGTTCCTTGTATCAAAATGTAAAGTATAACTCAAGGCAAAACTTTTTTTTTTTTTTTTTTTTAGTTTTCGATACTGTGAAGATAGGTGTTTTAATCTATTAGGTTTTTATTGCTACCTGTGCCCGCTAGGGAGATTTGCCCTCACTATTTGTCCTATTTACTGTTATCAAAAGTAAATGAAAATTCTGGTGATTTAGGGTATCCCAAGGGATTACCTTAATTTGCAGGGACTTCCTTTCACTTCTTGTTTTGGCTATAGGACCGGAAGTGAAGGTAAATCTCTCCAATGGGACACAGATGGCAAAAAGCCCTGACAGGGGTTATAACCCTCCCTTAGTGTTGGTTCACACTACTGTGACTTGAAAGTTGCACCATTTGCCTGGCCATTTTTTTAAAAAATAAAAAAAAAAAAAATTAATTTTGGCATGGAGTTTCCCTTCAAATCAATGCTAGACCTGAAGGGCCTGATATGAATAGGGTGTTAACCATGACATATATTTCTGTTCCAAATTTTTTATTGCCGGAATTTTTTTTTTTTGTTTACATTCAGCTGTCAGTGGGGAACCCTGCTGATAGCTGATGAGTCATCCGTTGTTAAGGATGTGGCGGCCGGGTTGCCAGCTCCTTAGCCACCAGCAATTCTTTACACAGAATTTGGATCGGTTGAGCAATGTGCGACTGATTCGATTTCCAATTGTTTCAAAAAGTTGAAATTTGTTAAATGAAGAAGATTACTGGTAGCTGATGTTCTCATTGGCCACAGGCTGTAATGAATGCCGTCAATTAAAAATTTTGAAAAAAATGAGTGGGCCCCCCTGCCCCAAAGCAACCCCCCCATGTTGAGGGAATGTGGCCTGGTTGAGGAGGGGATCTGATGGCTTGGATAAGGGACTGGTATGGTTTGGGGGGGACCCCCACACCATTTTTTTTTTATTTTTTCACATTTTTAATTGCTGGCAATCTTTACATTCAGCTTTCAGCCGAATGCACTGCAAAAACTGATCAAACTGCATTGGTGTGAACCAAGCCTGTCTGATCCAAATCACATCAATATAGATGAGGATTCGACTTGGAGGCGACTTCCAATAAAGTCTATGGGCACAAGTTGGATAGAAATCACCTTGAAGGTGGTACAGGAAACTCTTCCAATGTTGGAGTGACTTTAGTAGTGCTAAATAAGACAGCTCTTAGTGAATTACATGGGATTCACATGTCATGCAACTTGGGGTCACACAAGTCAGATTTCAAGCCGCAGCAGTGTAAACCGAGCCTATATCTAAAATGAAAAAAAAAAAAAGTTTTGCCCTTAGTTCTACATTCCTGTTACATTGTATCAACTGGAACACCCCACATTAGTTAACACAGAAGCACCCAAAATAAGAAACAAAATGTACCTCAGGAATTACTCTAAAGCCATTGAATAGCTATCTAAGAAGCATGCAGCTTCTGGCCGTACACTAAAGCTGGCCATACACTAGTAGAATTTCATTCACAATTTTACGTTTTAAGAATGTTGTTCAATTTTTATTTATTTATTTCAATCATCATGTGGTCAGATTGACAATTGTGTTAGACCATTTAGAACGGAAATTTCAAAGCAGAATAGACATTTTTTCTTGCGCAAATGCATTTGTAACAGTAAAAGTGGTTTTTCCAAAATCAGAAAATACATTCATTCCAAAATCGTATGCCAAAAGAGTGCAGGATTTAAGAAAAAAAATATTTGATCATTCATACTCACTATTTGGCTATAGCATTGACCTGATGCTGCAGCATTTGTTTTTCCCCACTGAGTGCTCTTTTAAGACTCTTTATGGAGTGGATCCCTACAGAGCCTGGGCTAGCTCTGTGACACCATCTGTGACATCTGACATCTGCTAGCCGTCAGAATTTAAAAAAAACATGGCCATGCGGGTCTCCGCCCACCCGGCCATGTCACTCATTCATTGTATTTTGTGAATGGGAAAACTACAAGTTCTGACTGCCTTTGCGGCTGTCGGCTTGTTGTTCTCAGTGAGCTGCCATGGCGCTTTTGAGCACTGTGGTAGTTCGATTCTTTCTTTCATAGTGTATCTTCTTGCATATACCAGTTACGAGCACACAGATATACTGACATGTCTGCAGGAGTCCTGCCTGGCAACCCTGATCTACTGATTGCTGGCACAATGCTTTACAGGATCCCAAAACAAAGAATAGTAAATGCACATCTTTTTTTTTTTTTTACCCAAAACTGATAATGCAATAAAATCAGCAGTACTTCAGAGCTTGCAACACTGCATAGATAATAAATTTGGCACATTATGAAAGGTCCATTAGTACATCATTTTGTTTGAAATAAATATTCCAGCAACAGGGTCTTGTTAAACTGCAACTCATTTATTGAATATTGTGCAAATGCATATAAGCAGGCCTGATATTTCCTTGTTCTCATTGTTTATATACCCATTATGGTACATTTGTGGTCTGTCTGGCTTGCAGTGGTGTGTTCTCATTGGGAAATGGCGCTCCATCCTCTGCTCCTTCATCCAGTCTGGGAAGTACAGCTCAAGGTAAATAGATCTTTTCTAAAAGCTACATTTTATGCTTTATTACCATAGTGATAATCTGTGTACTGTTTTTTTAGATTTGGGTCCAATTCATGCTGGCTTTCTCTTTCTATTTTTATTCTTCTGGTTTTCTTCCATTTTTCATTGTACAGCTAATTAATTGCATTGTCCTTCCTGCCATTTATAGATATATTGAAAAGCAAATAAAAATGCATCGGTGTGAAAAATAAATGGTTGCTGGTAAATTGTATAACATACTGCTGTATTTTTCTTGGACTCCATAGGTAAGATAGTCACACTGGAAATTTTTGTTCCATCTAACTGCCATGCCTGGTAAAAAGAAATACAATATATCACTATTCTCCAAAATGAAAACTACAAAAGTCACACCTTAGTTATGGTCCTGTGGAAGGGGACAGGGCCACAGACAGCTGCAGGAAATTCTTATTTTGGAGATATATGAAGCTTGTGGTTATTCTGCACACTAAAGACCATTTAGGGCCTCTTTCATATGGCAAAAGTGTTTCAGCTTTGGCAAAATTCCAGTGGATTCCTGTAGCTGGACGTACAGGTGGATGCAGATAGTTGCGGTCGCTGAGCCTCTACAGAGTAATGACAGACTGACAGCAGCTGTCTGGCAGTGTTTGGTTTTATCGAACAGCCAGTGATTACTTGCTGTTGGGGACAGTTAATTGCTCCTGGATTCAAGCTGTTTGCATCCAGGGATGAACCTCTATCCCTGCTGCAGGTAATTGCTGCTGTGCACCCAAGAGTGAAGTACTGGTTATTAGGTGGTGTTATAATAAGTGAGAAAAAGCGCCAACTACTTATATCTCCAATAAAGCTGCAAACCTTAGCCCAATAGGTATAAAAATCAATAATAAAAAAGGAATGTGCTAATCAATACTAAAGTGTCATAAAATAATTTCCACCAAAAATAAATAAAAATATGTCTAAACTAAATAAATATCTCCACAATTCATATATAAAGACTAACCACTATAAAGTAAAAAACAATGTAGTAATCTGTATATCAATAAGTATAAATAAAAGTCCACAATTCTTGTATGAAGTCCAACCGCCATCAAGTGATAACAATGTAGCAATCTTGTATAAATAATTGACAGCGTGAAGAAAAACAATCCACCACCAAATGAATTAAATGAACTCACCAGTGCGATATGCTGGTCAAATTATAAATCAGCATAATATTGCTCTGGGAGCGATGATCTGTTTGAAGTATCCAAAAGTATGGGAGCAATACTCTGCAATCAGCCAGCATGGATGAAGAAACTTTGTCAAGCGACCTCCTCTCTCTCTCTCTCTCCATGAATAAGGCAATGCTCGGGGGATTAAAAAGAAATATAATGGTGCAGTAAGTTTTTAAAACATAGGTTTTATTGAATGTCAAACTCACAAAGAAGGTGTCTAAGCCGATACCAGCATAAAGCGCCTCTGTCAATCCCAGGACAAGCCTCGTTCACCCCGGTGATCCTGGGATTGACAGAGGTGCTTTATGCTGGTGTCGGCTTAGACACCTTCTTTGTGAGTTTAATTGACATTCAATAAAACCTATGTTTTAAAAATGTACTGCACCATTATATTTCTTTTTAATCCCCCAAGCATTGCCTTATTCATGGAGAGAGAGAGGAGGTTTGCTTGACATAAAGTTTCTTCATCCATGCTGGCTGATTGCAGAGTATTGCTCCCATACTTTTGGATACTGCAAACAGATCATCGCTCCCAGAGCAATAGCGATTATGCTGATTTATAATTTGATCAGCATATCGCTGTGGTGAGTTAATTTAATTCATTTGGTGGTGGATTTGGTTAGTCAATTTTTTTTTTTTGGACAAATAATGTACTCATTAAACAAAAATCATTAATTCTGGTATCGTGAGAAAAATGTTTGTGTTTTGTCCTTTCTGATAATTTTGCATGAACTCTTGTGATCGGCTCTTGAAAGCTGTGCACTAACGATCAGATTATAAGATGATCGCTCTGAAAGTGGTATTTTTTGTCCGATTTTCTCATCATGTGTACTAGGCTTAAGACTGCAAAAACTTTTTAGTTGCAGCTTCTGTTCCAGCTCTTTCTCTATAGAAATTAGGAACACCCTGGCAGGCTTGTTTGCTTCCCCCAAATGTATGTTAGCCTTGTATCCATTTGGAGAGGATTGTGTACAAAAAGTGGTATTGTGGCTTGCCAGTGGCCCATCTTAGCAAATCAACCACTATTCTGTTAGAGGATACACCTGTCTTTAAGAACCCAACCGATAAGCGTTTGGAAGCCATTTCTAGAATGCTGTTCTCACTAGCAGATCTGGATCCTCACCCATTCATTGCTGGGACTTAACCTTGCCAGACCATGGCACCACTGTGCTGCAACCACATGCAGTGCATCCAGTTGCAGCAAAGTCCCAGTCCCGATGTGCCACGGCCACAGCAGGAACAGTACAACCCTGGCTGCTGCCTCTATAGTTAAACGGGGAGCAGTTGGGGGTGGTAAAAATGCCCACACACACACGTAATGGTACCTCCACGCATTCGAAAATGCACTGCATTTTTGATGCAGTGTCATTTTAAAAAAGGGTCACGACTTCTTTCCCTGTGCTTCCATGAGTAGGGCAGCCCTTTGAAAGGGGCTGCCCTACCCACAGGAATGCAGGGAAAGACAATGCACAGCAATTGTCAGTATGGTGGGGGGGGCTACCATTAAGAATTAATGGTACCCCTGCAAATCTGCTAAAGAGCAGCTCATTTGTCTGCGTGCTGGGAATCTCATCTCCCAATCAGCATTCTGGAGCTTTGAATGATTTGGCTGTCTCTGCAGCATTGAACTGTCCTGCTGGAGGATCCAGATTTTGTCAGACAATGCCACTTCAAAATCTGGCCACAGTAGTGACAAACATCAGCCATCAGGGAGAAACCAGAACTCTTGCTGCAGCAATAGAGGTAGATCACATAGTGTACTGGGCAGAACTTCGCATTCCAGCCTTGTCTGCAATGCACAGACCAGGCATGGACATTTGTCAGGCTGACTTCCTCAACTGGCAAAGACTTGACTTGGGGGAAGGGTGGGGTAGTGGTCCCTACACCAAGAGGTGTTCCAGGACCTGTCTCGCAGTTGGGGGATGCCAGATGCAGATCTGCAAGTTTATCAATAAACTAGACTGGTTTGTATCCAGGAATATGGATCAATTTGCTTCTCAAGATCAAGCTAGAGGGCATTCCTTGTGATCCTCATTTCTCCAGACTATCCAGAGAGATGTGACACTCTGACTTGTAGACCCTGGAGGGTGCTCCATGGGCTGTTCTAGATTGTCCACATCTTCTGTTTTGTAGACCGAATTTGCCACCTTTCTTCGCAGTTGCTGGCTTTCTCGACATAACTCTCTTTTTTTTTTTTTTTTTTAATTTAAATATTTATTAGTTTTTCATATTATTACAAAAAATTCCATAAGCAGAGATACAGTACATATAAATAATCAATACATTTCTACTCTGCCCCTTCTAATTTCCTCTTATTCTTTCCCTCCCCTCCCAACCCACTTCTACCCCCCTTCCCCCCCCCCTCCCTCCCCTCTGCAAGATCTCCAATCTCTCAAGGCCCAATAACTTTAAATAACTTCCTAGTTTAAAATTTTCTATATTTCTCTTTCAATCCTGATTTTTCCCATTTTTCCCATCGCGAATAGTATATTCCCAACCTGTCTTCCTGCATATAGTAAGATTTTTCCATTCTACTAATCTGGTTTACCCTATTGATCCAATCCTCCATCGGCACCTCTGTCCTCTGCCAAAACTTGGGTATCAACCCTTTTGCAGCACTTAAGTAGTACCATACGCCTGATTCTTTATATTTATTTACTGTTGTCACAACATTGTGTAGGAGACACATGGTTGGGTCTAACCCTATGTCAATTCCAGTTATTATTTCTATTAATTTAACTATTGTCTTCCAGAAAACCTGAATTTTTGGACATTTCCACCATATGTGAAACACCGTGCCCTCCTCCCCACATCCTCTCCAACACATTTTTGAATTCTCCCCACTCATCTTGTGCTCGGTGTAATATGCCATCGTGTCAGACATTTATAGTTAATCTCAACGTCTCTCATACTAACACTCTCGTGTACCAGTCTAAATATCTTATTCTGTTGATCCTCATCTATCACCACCTCCATATCTCTTTCCCAATTTGTTATAAAAATTAACTTTGTGTCTGTGTCTAATTCTGTGAGTATTCTATAAATTTTTGTAACACCGTGTTTCCCATCTCTACGTGTTTCTAATAGCCTTTCAAACATATTCCACTCCTTTTTTAATCTCAAGGGTTTTGGGAGATTTCCAATGAAACATTTTAATTGATGATTTTCCACTCATCTATTCTAGTAAACATATCTCCCCCCCTCTCTTTTAATTCTTTAAATGTTCTCAATTCCCCCTCTACCAATACGTCTCTCAATTGGATATCTTCCTTTTTAAACCATCTCCCTGATATCTCATCCTTTCCTGGAGGGAAAAACTCCGTGTTTGCAAGAGGCATTAATATAGAGTTGAATTCCCATTTCATGTGTTTATGTAAATTATCCCATGTCCTTAAAACATTTAAAGTGAAAGTGCTTGTGTTTTCTTTAATTCTTCTATAATGTGCTGGAACCCATATCATCTTACTCAAACTAATTCCACTCAGTTCGTTTTCTATTTTTACCCAACTTTTTCCCTTATGGTTAAATGTCCAATCATAAATTCTTGCTAAAATTACTGCTTTATAATATCTCTTGACATCAGGTAGTCCCATTCCCCCTTTCTCTTTAGTCCTACTTAGTGTTTCGTATGATATTCTTGGTTTTTTATTCCTCCATATATATCTTGTTAACATTCTTCTCATTATCTTAAAAAACGTCTCTGGGAGTTTAATTGGGACCATTTGAAATCTATAAAGTATTTTAGGTATAATTACCATTTTAACTAAGTTTATACGTCCTAACCATGATGGATTTCCTCCTTCTAATCTTTTTAATTCATCTTTAGTCTCATTTATCAGAGAAATATACTTTAATCTATACAATTGTTTATATGAGGTAGCAAGTTTTATTCCTAGGTATTTTATATCTTTTTCTCTCCATATAAAGGGGAATTCTTTTTGTAGCTTTTCTTTTTCACTCTTTGGTATATTGATGTTCAGAATCTCTGTTTTTGTTGGGTTAATTTTTAGATTTGATAGTTCACCATATTCCTTCAAGGTCTTCATTATACTTGGTAGTGTTATTCGGGGGTTACCCACATAAAACAATAGGTCGTCCGCAAAGGCCGCTACTTTATGTTCTATATTTTCTATCTGGGTTCCCTTTACCGCTCCACTATTCCTTATTATTAACAACAGGGGTTCCAATGTCAAAACGTACAACAAGGGGGACAATGGGCAGCCTTGTCTTGTTCCATTGGACATCCCAATGGATTCCAACCTCTCCCCATTTACCGTGATGATTGCGGTGGGCTCCCTATATAATTTACCTATCCACTCACGCATTCTCTCTCCAATCCCAACACTTCCAAGTTGTCCATCATAAAGCCCCAGTCCACTTTATCAAACGCCTTTTCGGCATCAATTGACAAGAGCACCACCGGGGCTTTCCCTTTTCTACTTTTCTGAATAAGCATTAAAGTTCTCAACCCGTTATCTCTACCCTCTCTCCCTGGGACAAAGCCCACCTGATCTCCATGGATCCATTCAGGCATTAGATCTTTCAGCCTGTTTGCTAGAACCTTTGCGTACAACTTGGTATCAGTGTTCAATAATGAAATTGGTCTGTAGCTAGAGCACTGAGAAGGATCTTTTCCCTCCTTATGAATGAGAACGACATGGGCCTGAAGGGATTCCCTCCTCCCCTCCATCCCACCTCCCAAGTCATTCATATACTTCTTCAACTTCGGTAACAGTAATTCACTAAATTTTTTATAGTACTTAACTGTATAACCTTCCGGGCCTGGGCTTTTCCCACCCCCTGTACTTCTTAATGCTGCTTCTATTTCTTCCTGGGAAATTTCCGCATTCAAGGAGATCAATTGTGTTTCACTGAGCTTTGGTAATCCCGCATTTTTTAAATATATCATCCTTTTTTTCGTTAATACCTTCTCTAATTTCTTTTGGTGAACCTTGGTGCCTAATATTATACAACTTTCTATAATACTCCGTGAATACTTTAATAATTTCTTTAGTTGAGTGGACCAACTCCCCCTTAGGACTTTTTATCTTTTCTATATAATTCCTGTTTTTCTTTTTATTCAGGGCTCTCATTAAATATTTTCCTGGTCTATCTCCCCATCTATATCTTTCACTTAATACTTTGTTATATACTCTTCTCCTCTCCTCTTCCATCAATCTCTCTAACTCGTCTTTTTTATCCATTAACTTCTGTCTTGTTTCTATTGTTATTTTCTTCTTATGTATCTGCTCCAAATCCAGGATTTCCTTTAGGAGTCCACTAACCCTCTCTCTTCTTTCTTTCTCGACATAACTCTTGAACTCAGCATTAGAGAAACAAGAGCAACTATGAAACGTTAAGATGTAGACTTCCTTCAAGGTCTATCGTCAAACACCGAACTTGTCCTTCCTACAGCTGGGACTGGACCAATGTTTGGCCTCGGCGCTGATTAAGGTCATGTTTCTGTCTTGTTTTAGAGATCATTGGCCACTCATTCCTTGGTTAAAGTGGTTGTAAAGGCTCAAGGCTTTTTTAAGTTCTTGCATTCTATGCATGAAGGTAAAAAACCTGTGTGCAGCAGCCCCCCCTCCCCAATACTCACCTGAGCTCCATCGCAATTCAGCTCGGCCCCCCTCATTGGCTGGGACAGCAGCGAGGACAATGGCTCCTGCAGCTGTCATTCACAGTCAGTGAGCCAATAAGTAGAGAAAGGGGGCAGGTCTAAACCACAGCTGTGTGTGTGAATGGACACGCAGATCAGTGGCTTGGGAGCGAACCTGCTTGGGTGCCCCCATAGTAGTAAGCTGCTTGCTCTGGGGGTACTCGGCAGGAGGGAGAGGCTAGGAGCACCAGCAGAGGACACGAGAAGAGGAGGATTGGGTCTGCTTTGTGCAAAACCCACTACGCAGAGCAGGTAAGTATGATGTGTTTATTTTAAAAAAAATAATTTTGCCTTTAATATCACTTTAGGACCTTTTTACAGGGTGTTCTTCATGTTGCTTGTCCAGGTTTTTCCCCTGTGACTCTGTGGGATTTGAATCTAGTTCTCTCTGTAGTTCAGAAGCCTCTGTTTTGAGCCTATTAGAGACATACCCCTCTACTTTCACTCAAAAGGTGGTCTGCATTGTAGTCATTACCTCTACCAGGCACATGTGTAAACTGGAGATCATATCCTGCAAGGAACCTTTTCAGGTTTTGCATATGGATATAGTCTTGAGGCCCAGGACCCAGTACAGTGGTTTCTGCCTTTCACCTCAACATGGACAGCCTTCTTCCATTGCACTTTCCGGCTCCAGTTCATAAAAAATGAAATTACCGTTCATTTTCTAGATGTGGTCTGGGCTGTGGGGTCTGTCTCTCAGCCACTGCTTCTTTCAGAAGGACTGATCCCTTATTTGTCATACTGGGATGTTCTCTGTGAAGGTGTACCAGTTTCTGGTTACATAATTTCTAGGTAGCTCAAGACAGGCAATCATCGAAGTTTATAGCCCACAGATGGATTTCCACCATTTCCTGTCAAGGTACACTTCTAGATCTCTGAGTGTTTCTTTGGCTTTGTGGTATCAAGCAACGTTTTCTCTGATTTTGCAAGACTATCTGGTCTTCTGTTCACACGTTCTCTGAATTCTTCCTGGTGGATGTTGTGGCCTCTTTTTGATGCCATCTTGGAGCACAAGGTCCTTCAGGCAGCTCTGAGCTGTGGACAGTTCCCTGTTTTTGGGGGCCTGTTAGTGTTTGCTGTGTTGTCCACCCCTCAGATTAACTGCTTTTGGATGTCCCAAAGGTGAAAGACTCCTTGGGGTTTATTTACTAAAGCTGGAGAGTGCAAAAATCAGACTCACTTCTGCATAGAAACCAATCAGCTTCCAGGTTTCATTGCCATAGCTTCATTGAACAAGCTGAGGTTAGAAGCTGATTGGTTTCTATGCAGAAGGGAGTCTGATTTTGGACTCTCCAGCTTTAGTAAATAAACCCCCTTGTGTCCCTCAAAAGACCAGAAAGAAAAAAAGATTTATTGTACTCGCCAAAGATTATCTTTTTATTGAAGTCCATTGAGGGACACAGGTCTCACCTCTCCATGTTTATGGTCATCTTCTTGATACTGCTTTACTTCAAAACTGAGGTATACAAGTAGTAGAAGGGGTTAACCTGGGCTGGCCTACAGTCTTTTTGTTTGTCAGCATCCAATCCTGTAGCCATCAGGATAATCTGAAGATGAAAGACTTCCTGTGTTCCACAATAGACTTCAAGAGAAGGATTTTACATTAAGTACAAAAACCCTATTGTATTGCAGATTAATAGTCCTTAGATGTAGTGGCTGCGTTCAGTGTTTTCTTTTTTTTTCAGGCTTTTGCTTCCCCTTTTATTTTTCACCTGGTGATCCTGACAGTAACACACTTCCTGTACTAGGGTAACAAGGTTCCCTCAATCTACTCTGAGGTGGAACAGTGTTACCCTAGGATAGGCAGTGTGCTAGGATTACACAACACATACCCTTCTTATCTCCATAATATAGGGAAGGTGTTTCATTTTTAGTTCACAGAGGAGAACTGAGCAGGGCTGTTAACAGTGTTTGAGGTTTTAGTTTAGTACATGCTGCATAAACATAGTGACTCCATTTCTGGCACAATCAATAGGTTTTTTGGACTTCTTGAACAGCTATAACAAAATGTTTTTGAGCAGACAAAAATGGACAAATTAGGGAAGTTCATTGTTATTATACCTTTTTAAAGTCAAGTTTAATTGGTTCTTTTTTAATGTGAAAATCCTTATAATGGTTGACACTTCTATTTGAAATATACTGTAGATTGCAGTAATATAACATGCATGCAGTAAATTTATAAAATCTGTGCAATCTAACTTTTAGTGAAAGAAAATCCGTTTTTTTTAATCAGCAAGTAATGCATAGTAATAAAAAATTCCATATGCGTTATGCTAAACATAAATGCTGTTTTCTGATGTTCCTCTTTAAAAAAAAACAAAAAAAAAAACTTTATTTTAAGACCATACATAGGCTATCATTCCTGAACTCAGCTGAAATTGTAAGTCTTCTTACCATTATATTCATCCAAAGATATTAGCAGCTTTTGACCCTGAAAACAAGTGTTCAGGTGGGATTAGACCTTCCTCTAGCTACACTTGGTACATGCTTTCTGTGGATTTACTTTTGAGGCTGCAAACCACTAGGGATCTAGCTGTTCTAGACGAAGGTCAGCAATGGCAGCTACCATATTTCTCTCAATAGAAGGTTCCCTTCACATAACCACACTTTTTTGTTTACGTCATTGCGTATCTTTTTTATTATTTAGTAAGACTTACATTTTTTATAATTGCACATGCAAGCAATCTTTTTTGTTTTTGTTGTTTCAGTAAAGGACACTAGCCAGCCAACCCCTTTAACCAACAGCAATGGAAACAAATTCCAGTTTGGCCTTGTACCTGAAGCAAACTTTGCTTTTGGGCCCCCTAAGCCAGGCACTGGTAACACCACTGCTAGCACCTCGGATTCTACAAGTGCTAGACCAACCTCTGTCCAGGCACCTCCACCTACTACATCACTATCTACTGCTGCAGGCACTGCAGCAGCTGCACAGACCTTCACTGGTGGAGAGACTCTGGGAAGTTTTTCAGGACTGAGAGTTGGTCAGGTTGAAGAAGTACCTAAAACAGAGCCTACTAAAGTCACTCCGCCAATACAGCCAGTAAAAATTTCTGGTGCTGCTTCTTCGACAGCCATTGGAGGTTTTCAGCCTTCAAAACCTGTAGAACCAGCTTCAACGACAAGCAGCTCTTCAGCCATATTTGGTAATATGAAATTTGCAAACACGGGGATACCTGGCATGTTTAATTCTAGTGGCATTAAGCAGAACTTCTCATTTGCAACACCAGCCACCGCAACATCTGTAACTGAAGTTTCGTCCACAGTGCAAGTTACATCATCTCTGCCTTTTGGTGGTTTCATAGCGCCTTCAACATCACTTCAGACTCCTACAACAACAGTTTCTGCTGCACTGCTTACACCTGTACCTAGCTCCACATCTGTGGAGGCCAAGCAACCAGCACTTGAAAAACCATTGAATGAGCCTGTGGTGCTCCCTCCTCAGCTGCAAGCATTGCTTGCTGCCACAACAGACAGTAGTAAGGAGCCTGTTTCTGCAGCGGCTGGAAGAACAATGACCACTGTTCCTGCTGTCATACCTACAGTTACTAAAACACAACCTGCTACAGAAGCTAAGACAACTACACCTGTTTCCGTTTTTTCAACCACAGAAAGTTCCAATTTAAATGTCCCCATCACATCCACACCTACATCAATCAGTCATCTGGCTCTTCCTGCAGCTACTACCTCTGAGGGACCCTCTTCTCAGACTCCAGTGTTGGTTACATCCACTCCTACATTAGGCCCAACCAGCACACAGGTCACATCTGCACCTACAGGGTCTACTGCAACAGGATCTTCTTTTGGCCAGCCTCTAGTAATAGCTGCACCTACTCCAACCACAACAGCTGGTTCTCTCTTTGGCCCAGCCCCAGCACCTAGTACAGGTACTCCTCTGTTTGGTCATCCAAGCAGTACATCAACCACCACATCTGGAATTACTACTTCTGGCTTTGGCACACCAAGTTTTGGATCAGTAGATGGTGGTGGAGGCTTTGGACAGCCTGCGTTTGGTCAAACAGCATCACTTTGGAAAGCACCAGCTAGCTCTGCCAGCAGCTTCTCCTTTGCACCATCAGCCTATGGATCACAACCAGCCTTTGGGCAGACTCCTGCTTCAACTGCTGCAACCAGTAGTAGTGGCAGTCTGTTTAGATGGCCTGCAAACACAGGCGGGTCAAGTACACTCTCATTTGGGCAACTGCCAAGCAGCAACAGTGCATCCACTGCTGGAGGAGGCCTATTTGGACAGAGCAGCACCGCAGTTTTTGGCCAGAACTCCACATTTGGGCAGAGTGCTCCTATTTTCGGCAGTGCAAGCTCATCTACAACAACAACGTCATCTTCTGCGTTCAGCTTTGGGCAACCATCAGGTGCGTATTGCTTACATTAATGATTTTGTCCTTTTAAACCTGAAAGTGATGTTTGTGACATTGACCCTCTTCAAGAATTTAATGGAAGTGAAATTGAAAAGTATCATTGAATGCATTATTTTTTTTCTTTTTGCTTTTTACTTTCTAGCATTTGGCTCCAATTCCACTGGACCAGTATTTGGCCAATCACAAAGTGGCGATGCAAACGTCTTTGGACAGGTATACATTTTTTTTATTCTTTGTGTACGGATGTGACTTTATAGGGTCAAGGTTCAAATGGGTTGCTCTTTTTGATTCAAGTTTTTTTTGATGGTGTAAATCAAGGTTCCTTCTCTCCTGAACTCTTTACTGGATTTGGAAACTCTAGTGGGAATATCTCATCCTATTATACAACCAATTTGTTTTGCCAAGATACTGTGGTCAGCAGGCTGTAAGTTGTTAGTATGGAAAATCAGCTAGAGCAGGTGTTAAGTTACAAGGTTTAGGGGACCTCAGTCATGACCCCTGATGTTTACAAAGGGCCGCACGTAATATTCAGTATATGTAATACTGCAGAAGAATTTCAGAGACTGCAGGATTAATAGAGGGAACTGTCAAAAATTATGGACATTTTACAGGTGTAGTAGAGACATGCTGAAGACGCGTTTTCTTTCAAAAAGCTTCTATGCCCTAACAATAATAATAAAAAAAAGAGCATAGGCTTTTTATCATTTTGATATGTTTATGTTGATAGGATTATGTGAAGTATCCAGTACAGCAGTCAGGACTATGCAGTATACAACATACATATGGTGCAGGGGCGGACTGACCATTCTGACATTGCCCAAGGGCCCAGGGTCAGTAGGGGCCCGGCGACTGGCTCACTGGACACAATTCACTAAGCGGTATCTTACTGCATCCGAGTATGCGGTAGGATACTGCATAGCATTTTTTTAAAAAAAAATAGAAATTTGAATTCACCAAAAAAAGCTACTAACATACTGCATGAGTTATTTTATCAAGTCATGCGGTATTTTAGTAGTAAAAACCATGCGTTAATGTTCCAGCTGTCAGCGGGGTTCCCCACTGACAGCTAAAAGTAAAAGAATTGTCGGCAAATAAAAAAAAATTATTCAAAAAACGGCACGGGTTCCCCCCTCCATCCATACCAAGCCCTCCAGGTCTTGTATGGATTTTGAGAGGAACCCCCACGCCAAAATTAAAAAAAAAAAATCCATACCAGACCCATATCCGAGCATGCAGCCCGGCAGGTCAGGAAGGAGGGGGGACAAGCGAGCGCCATACCAGGCCATGTGCCCTTAACATGGGGGGGGGCTTGGACCTTGTCCCCATGCACCTTGTCCCCATGTTGATGGGGACAAGGGCCTCTTCACCACATCCCTAGCTGGTGGTTGTGGGAGTCTGCGGGTGGTGGGCTTATCAGAATCTGGAAGCCCCATTTAGCAAGGGGGCCCCCAGATCCCCCCCCCCCCCTCCTCCTCCTCCATGTGAATGAGTATGTGGTACAGGGTACCGCTACCCATTCACAAAAAAAAAAAGTGTAGTGTGAAAAAAAGACAGGAGACAGTCTTTGACATGTCCTTTATTGAATGAAGGAAAATAAAAGAATGTCCCCCGGAGTAGATCCAACATCAATCACGATGCCCTCCGCCTACATTTTTGGAAAATTACAAAAATAGTTTTCTTTTTTTTCTTTTTACAGTTTTACAGTTTAGTGGTATATTATATATTTATTTATTTATCGAGTTTATATAGCGCCAAAGGGTTTGCTTAGCGCTGTACAATAGAGGGGGGGACAATACATGAAACAGAACAGTAATATCAAACAGTACACAAGGGGTAAGAGGGCCCTACTCTTTCGAGCTTACAATCTAGGAGGGAGGGGGTAGAGGCACAGGAGGAAACGGCTGTGCGGGATGGAGTGGTAGGAGGAGGGAAGGGCAGTGGCTGTTAGGTGAGGGTGGGGTAGGCTTCCCTGAAGAGGTGGGTTTTCAGGGAGCGCCTGAAGGTGAGGAGGGAAGGTGACAGTCTGATGGATTGGGGTAGTGAGTTCCAGAGGATGGGGGAGGACCTGGAGAAGTCTTGCAGTCGTGCGTGGGAGGAGGAGACCAGGGAGCAAGATAGAAGGAGGTCCTGTGAAGAGCGAAGGGTACGGGTAGGGTGGTACCTGGGAATCAGGTCGGTGAGGTAGTTAGGGGCAGTATTGTGAATGGCCTTATAGGTCAGGGTGAGCAATTTGAATTTAATGCGTTGGGCAATGGGGAGCCAGTGGAGGGAGAGGCAGAGGGGGGTGGCAGAGGTGGAGCGGCTGGTGAGGTGGATGAGTCTAGCCGCTGAGTTCAGGATGGTCTGAAGCGGGGAGAGCCTGCACTGGGGTAGGCCGGTGAGGAGGGAGTTGCAGTAGTCAAGGCGTGAGATAATCAGGGAGTGTACGAGTAGTTTGGTGGTGTCTGGGGTAAGGAAGGAGCGTATCTTGGCGATGTTTCGGAGGTGGAGCCTGCATGTGTTTGTGAGTGATTTGATATGAGGTTGAAAGGAAAGGTTTGAGTCCAGAATGACGCCAAGGACCTTGGCTTGCTGGGCGGGATTGATGGTGGTGTTGTTGGTAGTGATGGAAAGGATGGGGGGGGGGGCGCAGGCTGGGGGGAAGACGAGAAGCTCGGTTTTGGAGAGGTTGAGCTTGAGGAAATGGAGCGACATCCAGTCAGAGATGTCGTTTAGGAGGTGAGTGATGCGGGCGGAGAATGTGGGGGTGAGGTGAGGGGTGGATAGGTAGATTTGAGTGTCATCAGCGTAGAGGTGGTAATTGAAGCCGTGGGAGTGTATGAGTTTGCCAAGGGAGGAGGTGTAGATGGAGAAGAGAAGGGGTCCAAGGACAGAGCCCTGGGGGACCCCAACAGAGAGGGGGAGGGAAGAGGAGGTGGTATCGTTGTAGGAAACGCTGAAGGAGCGTTGGGATAGATAGGACGAGAACCAAGAGAGAGCGGTGTCTCTGATGCCAAGGGAGAGTAGTTTATTAAGGAGGAGGGGGTGGTCAACTGTGTCAAAGGCCGCGGAGAGGTCTAGGAGGAGGAGGACAGAGTAGTCGCCTTTGGCTTTGGCGGTTAGTAGATCGTTGGTGATTTTGAGGAGGGCAGTTTCGGTGGAGTGTAGGGGACGGAAGCCGGACTGTAGTGGGTCAAGGAGGTTGCTGTCAGTTAGGTGGGCGCTTAGGCGATCGAAGACCAAGCGCTCAAGGAGCTTGGAAGTGAGTGGCAGCAGGGAAATTGGTCTGAGGTTGTTGAGGTCAGTGGGGTCCAGGGAGGGCTTTTTGAGTATGGGGGTGATGTGTGCATGTTTTAGGGGGGAGGGGAAGACGCCAGTAGAGAGGGAGAGATTGAAGATGTGGGTAAGGGAGCGGATGAGGGAAGAGGGGGGTGACCGGAGGAGTTGAGAGGGGATAGGGTCCAGGGGGCAGGTAGTGAGGCGGGCTTCTGAGAAGACTCTGCTGACTTCCTCAGTGGTAGTAGGGCTGAAGGAGTGCAGTGATGGGGGGGTTACGGTAGGCAGGGCCTTGGGTGTGGTGGGGGGCAGTGCCGTTGCGGGGTCAGAGGAGGGGAGAGATGAGGGGGTGATGGAAGGGGGGAGGCTAGATGGGGAGGTAGATTGCAAGTTGACTATGTCCTTGCGGATTGCGTCAATCTTGTTGTGGAGATGAGTGGCAATCTCGTGGGCGGTAAGTGAGGTACTGAGTGGAGGAGGGGGGGGAGAGAGCAGGGAGTTGAAGGTGGAGAAGAGTCGGCGAGGGCAGGTGGAGAGGGTGTTAATCAGGTTAACGAAGTAGGCCTGCTTGGCGGCGTGGAGGGAGGAGGTGTAGGTGAGGAAGGCAGATTTGTAGAGGGAGAATGCATGAGGGGACCTGGTTTTGCGCCACAGTCTCTCCAGCGCACGACTGCGACGTTTGAGGCATTTAGTATGGTCGTTGTGCCAGGGTTGGAGCGGTCTGGGTTTGATGTTGCGTGTGGTAAGGGGTGCCAGAGAGTCTAGGGTAGCTGATAGTGAGTCGTTGTACGCGGTGGTGGCTAGGTCAGGACATGACAGTGGAAGGATGCTGTCGTGTAAGCGGTTGGCAGCCGAGTGGAGGGGGGGCCGGGTGCAGGTTGCGGAGGTTGCGGCTGGTGATGGTTTGGCGCACTGGGGGGGGGGGGGAGTTAGGGGAAGGGGAGATGGAGAACATGAGGAGGTGGTGGTCGGAGAGAGGGAAGGGGGTGTTAGTGAAGTATACCCATGTGTGAGTATGCTCACACATGGGTATATTTGGAATTACACCCCAAAATATTATCTTCTACTTCTGAGTATGGGTATACCACATGCGTGAGACTTTTTGGGAGCCTAGCCACATACAGTAGCCCGAAATCCCCTTTGAAAGCCTGATCGTACGTAATTTCCTCATTTCACTTCCTTATGTCCCGGCATTAGCTCCGCACATCTCCAGCGCCGATAGCAGTCCATATAAGGGCATAGTGCTACCCTCGCTCCCGGGCCCCCCCCCCCCCCCCCAGTCCTGAACCAGACCTCGGGCACTCAAAATAATGCCCGGAAAAACGGCGGTGAAGAGCCGTGGAGGCTCCCAGATGCCGGGGACTGGAAGATCCAAGATGGCGGCCGGATCGGCGCCCGCGCTCCTGGTGCCTCCTCTGCCTCTCTCACGGCAGCACCTCTCCCCCAGAGGGAGAAAATGAGCACCTCTTCCCACACTGGACCAAGGAGGATTGCAGCAGCATCACCAGCTGGGGTGAGTGCCTCCCTGCAGTCCCCCCAGTCACCTTCCAGCCCTGTACCACCAGAGTCCCAGGATTTGGCCTGTTCCTTGGGCTGTGACTCCCCTGCCTCCTCGCCATTGAGCAGTGAGATCGCTGCCATTTTCTCCAGCCAGCATAGCGGTCCAGAGCCTGCAGATGACAGCCCGGCTTCCTCACCAACAATTCCTCCTGACCCGCCTCTATATTCTGGTGACGCGACTTTGATAGCTCGGTTCACAAATTTGCTGCAACGCGAACTGGACAGAGCTACCTCAAAATTGGCAGCTGACCTTAAGCAGGATTTTCAGGTCTTGGGCTACCGTCTGGACAGTATTGAGGCTAAAGTTGATGTGACAGCCCATAGTGTCTCCCAAAATTCTAACATGATCACCGACTTGCAAGATCGCCTGGAGGAAGCATACTCTAAAATTGATGATTTGG